TTTATTCTATATTGAAACTCACTTGTATTTTATTACCTTTTAACACAACATTATCTATTTCATAACATATTTATCAGAGATTATTTTTAAGAGCACTCCATAATCAATCAGTTTTAAAACGGTGTAGAGAATTATAGAATTACATTGTCACAGTCGCTGAACTTGAGTTTTATAGTTATTGCAGACTATAATTTTTTTATTTACTGCAATATATTAAATTTCAACATTTAAGTTTTACGGTATATCGTTTTGCACACAAAGTGTTTACAGTTGTATCACACATAAAATATCCGTATTACAGTTCTGTTGATCTCGAGTTTGTTTAGTTTTTTTACGATGTCTTTGAAGATAACGTGAAACAAAAATTTATCCTATTAATGTAAATATTCAGCACTGGACATAATGGCTGAGCTGATGATGAATGTAAATGTGAAAGTTTGTGAAGTTATTTTATATAACTTGGAATAGCAACGAGTTGACGGTAGACATTCTTAATAGCCTTTCTTAATAGACCATAGACATTCTTAATAGCCCTTGGTGTGCTGCTGCTCATCTTGGTGGTGACATTGCCTCACCTTCTAATGGTTGTTGGATTTGATTTGCACAATAAAACACGTGTGTTTATAAGTATCTTTATTTGTATGTGTATTATTAACTCTATTGTTAAAAGTTTTTTAAGCATACATTTTATTTTAATGTAATAATTGTCGGTTTAACTTACGTGTAATTAGGTCGAAAAAAGCTGGACTAGTTTCGGAATCAATTGGTTTTTTGGATCTAATTACACGTAAGCTGAACTGGTAGATATTACATTAAAATGTATTATTTATGTATTAAAAATAAGTATGTTTATCTTTGTATGAGATTCATATACATGACTTTGATATATAGGATCCTATTTAAATGATAGTTTAATAATTTATTGCTATTAATAAGTTCATAAATGTATTAGTTCTGATTAAAAATAGGAAACAACCAGGTATACACATGTGTTTCGTTTTCGTTGTCGTATACGGAACACTAAAGATGTAACGTTTGTTCTATAATTTGGCCGTTATATGTATAAGGAGATAAGGGACGTAATCATTATTAACGCTTGAAGGAATTTTACCATACATTGTGAACGGCGGTAATCGATATAATCCGGTCGAATGTACGAATCACACGCCCACCGATCAAACAAAGGGAATGAATGCACTAGTAGTTCCGTGCAGTTAAATATTTCCGTAAGCCATTTATACGTCCCGAAGTATCCACGTTTTATTGCTATTAATGCTATTTTGCATACCGCACTGTTATTAAGCTATATTCGACGTTGCTGAGCAGTGTAGATTACTGTTTGGAATCTGTTTAGGTAAATGATTGGCTTAGTGTTTCTCCTATTCAAAACAATTCATGTGATGGTAATTTTGGTTGTTACATGCAGTTGTGCTAACAGTGTGTTAATAGAGTCATAAAATTATATTACATTAGCGTTAAGAAGCTGTATTCTGTTTACTTGGTCGTGTTTGGGTTTGAAGTTACAGGGTACGGAGGCGAAACACCTTAGTATTTTTCCATCGGTTGAGATGTCGCCTTTTTTGCCATTCCTATTTCCATTTCCCTTGCCTCTTTTAGGAATATTTGACATTTTGTTCTATTTTGTGGATATAATCGAAACAAATTCCAATCATTATGATTGTGTACTACAAATAAATTTGACTACTATTGTCACAAAATTCATTATTTTGATTAAAGAACTAAATTATTGAACTGATTTTGTTAAAATATCTATGGGATCAATCTGTAAGTATATCCTTTTAGATAAAAAAGTATTGTTCAAATTGGTTTAGAACTGTCAGAGTTATGAGGTACCAAACAAAAAAATACAACATAATTAAGAATCTCCTTCTTTTTGAAGTCCGGTGAAAAGAACCAATAATGTGTGGCACACATTGAATTGATGATGATAATGATGATGTTAACAGAAATCTACCGTTAAATTAGTTTGTCACGTGTTTAGATGGAAGGATCTAAGAAATAGATAAAGTAACATTTCATCAATAATGTCGCTAAAGTCCAGGTACTAAATGTATAGAAATAACACAAGCTTTAGTAGGTAAGCGTAAACGTAAGTCAATTCCATATAATATATTTTGCACTTATCCATTGCACGAGATTGCTAGTTCTGCATAGTAGTATGCATTACAAGATCGGGGAGTATATCATGAAATAAAATTCAGAATTTTCGGACTCAATATCGTGTTTTCGTCTATGTCGAATATTTTAATATTTTTAAACATTATGTTATATGTAATTTTAACATCAAATATTTGCTAGCATTTCATGGTAGACCCTCAGATCATATTATAATGGTAGTAAATAAGCGGATGCACAAGTAACTCGATTGCTATATATTTCCAATAGGTAATAAAATGTAGCATGCCAATTTAAACTCCAGGAATTATTAATTCCACTCTGTTAACAAACTTAAAATGCTCGATGGAATATGAACAAGTCAAATGTTTACTACGATAGTTGTGATGTTTGTTTTGTTATTCAATCACACACAAACAATTGAACTGATATGAATGTTTGGCACACAGATTATGTCAAAGATTATTTCCTATTACTGCAGACGATCTACGTACACTCATAGTTACCAACGTGAACAAATTATTCAATACTGTGACCTTTATGAAGTAACGGTGTAACGCACTATCTTACCTTCGGGGTTGGTTGCGATGATTACGGGTTCGATACTCTTGCATTACAAATCGTGGTTTTTCCAAGAGACTACAGCATGGGAGTAAAGGTCAAGAGGTTTCATCACGGTAGGCAATGCGCGCGTAATACCTCTGGTATTGCAGGCGTTCATAGGCTACGGTAACCATTTACCATCAGGTGGGCCGTATGCTTGTTTGCCACCTCCGTGGTATAAAAAAAATTGTGTTTGAAAATTCATTTTATATCTCATTCGTAAAATGTACAATTATCACATTAAACTATGAGTTTATCTTTGTGACTTTGTGTTATTTGACGCTTCTACAAATTATTTGTTCTATCAATTCAATTTTTTTAATTTTTTTTTATCAAAGAGTATGGGTGGATATAATATTTGCAGTATACACAATGCATATATAATTTAATACATCGTGTCTGGTATTAGGTCATCATTATGAAAGTATCATGTGTAACAGATGGCTAATTATATCGATAAACTACATAGTCTATCCTTAGATTACTGGTATTGCGTCTAAATTTCAACAAAAACAAACTTCTCATGACTGCAAGCAATCGAAACCTGACAGCATGTAATGTACAGGCTTAAATTTCATATCTGGACTTGCGTATTATTCATGAAACGTCAAACATTTGTTATTTGAACTTATAATAGGTAGGTATTTTATCTGTATAAGAGTATTCAGTAAAAATTCTGAAGGTGAAACACAAAAACTCAAAATACAATATGTATAATATGGTAATATAGTAGTGTCCATAATTCAACGACGTAGTTTTATGTGCATTTTCATTTATAAATTTAAATTTATTAACTCATTTCGTATTTTCATATTCGATCTGTCTGGAACACTGAAAACTTTAATGTCCTGAATATGTTTATGCCACTACCAGATGGGGCCCGTCTTAAAATATCGGGTGGTCAAACAGGATAATAATAACAAGAACAACAAGAAATGTCAAGCATTTAACAGACTTACAAAAAATTCTATACCTCTTTGAAATCACTTACAAATAAATTTCGTTTTTCCACAAACTATGCTTTGTCCGTTTCACCCGCGAAACATTTCATAAACGAAATCAAGAGATGATGATGTTAATAAATAAATGACATAATTATTTATATACGTATAATATTTATCAGATATAAATATTTCTTGCTAAAAACAGAATGTAACATGTCTTTAATAGGAGTAGGTACTAACAAAAATAGCAGTATAAATTGAATTTGCTAAAAGTGTTTTCTGCCAGCCGACCGTTGACAAATAATAGAGCAATTGAATGCGTATATTTCTACATACAAATTAGTGGTACAAACAGCTTGATTACCGAGTCGTAAGTAGTTTGCAAATGACACTCGACATACCCACGAGGACATAAAATATCGCAATCCTCCTATGCTATGTTATTATTGATTCTAGCTTTTAGTTCTAGCTTCTAGTCTTTTATATTCTAGTTTTGATATTCTAATGTATACTATAGATTGAGATTGACTTTTGTTAACATTTTTTAAGGGAGTAAAAATAAAAATATTTACATATGAAATGTGGCAAAAAGGAAGAAAAATATAAAAACTCACTCGAACCAGACTGCTGGTTAGACGCAACCTTATTAATTTATAGGTAGTTAATTTTTTGACGTTTTTGACCCATGTTTCTTTGAATAAAATGTGCAGTTTCACTAGAAAAGTCTGTTTAAATAGAAAATAATGAAAGTATAAATGAAAGAATTATTGATTCGGCTATAGATTAGACAGTCTGTTAATGTCCAGTAGCAATAATACCGATTAATTTATTGAATTTTTCAATTTGTTACTAAAGTTTTATTTCAACAATCTCTAGAAAATCTCCTATTAACGGTGTATCGTCATGAATGATCATTATTATCATATCAGCCGTTAATTGTTTACTGCTGAACATAGAGGGGAAGTTTTTCCAGTAGTTGCTACGCTTGGCAAGCGGGTTGACAACCTCAGTTTGGCTTTGGTGATATTTAAAGAGGGGAGCTGCTGCTCCCTGTCCCTCGACCATTAAGTTTCTTTAGTCGCTTCTTACGACGCCTACGGTAAAGGAAGGGGTGGCTCATTTTATGCTATGACCACACGGCATGTCTCGTCGTGTCATATCGTCATGTATATATTATATTAACTAGCAAATACACCTATAAAAGCCTGATATCAAGAATGGATTTTTAATTATTTTGTAATCTAACCTATCTACTATACAAATACGAGTAAAATAGATTTATATGAAATAGTAATTGTTTTTGCCTTTATTTCTCAGGTGGATTGCCCATTTATCGTTTGCATGACATACGCATTCCACACACCCGACAAGCTTTGCTTCATTTTGGATTTGATGAATGGAGGTGATCTTCACTATCATCTCTCTCAACATGGTGTGTTCAACGAGGCAGAAATGAAGTTCTATGCCGCAGAAGTTATACTAGGTTTGTATTTTAACCAGAAGACGTGTATAATTCGTTTGCATTAGGTACTTACAGCACCCAAATAATAACAGACGTAGATATTTCACAATAAAAAGAGATAAAAAAAAAATACGTATAAATAAACAGAAAAATACATAAAAGGAGTAACAATTTTTTTCCTTACGTGTGCCATAGTAACACAAAATGGTCACAACTCTGTTTATTGCTTTGTCCTCAAAAGAGATACTGATATTCTGTTGTGGCCAAAAACCATGAAACATGACGCCCTCCATTCGCCCTGACGGATTTGAATATTGTCGGCGAAATGTGAGCAAGTCAATTTTATTTCAGCGACTGAGGTTAAAAAAAGCAAGCCCTTCTTAATACCAGATTTGATATATGCTAATTTTTATAATGGTTAAGTTGTTAAGATTCCAATATGTAAAACACAAAATTACAATCCTACGTTAATTTATATTAGGAATGTGAATGATTATACAAAATTGTTTTGATGTGTGTTGCACAATCACACTTAAACTATTGTACATACTGAACTGTTTTCAATGATATACAAATCGTTAACATAAAAGTCACTGTTTATCTTAAACCACGCGAATAGAGCCGCGGGATATAGCTTGTTTATAATATTATATTCCAGTTGTACAGATTTACTACTGATATATGTGTACGTGAGGTATTAATATGTGTGGTGACGTACCTGATGTGATCTGATTAGGTACAACAGGTGTGCTATGACATTTACTATTTAACTGTTTGTTTGCAACCAACGTTCATAAAATATTATTACACTATCAAACGTATTATGATCATCTGTACATTTTAGAGCTATAAATACAGGTTAGAAACGAAAAATGATGTTACCAGGCTATCCCTAAGCTATTTAAGATATCATATATAATTCCATAAATAAATTATAGTTGGTTAATTTATGTCACTACAGTACAGATATATATTGTAGTCTAATATCATACATAATAACGTAGTCGACAATGATAATTTCAATTATACTTTTTCAGTTACAATTACAATATTTCATTTCTCATCATCTATATGAGTTTTTAGAGAATATTATCTTATAAGCATATATAATATCCTCGTTTAGTTTAGTATATATTTTTATACAAACTTCAACGTTATTTGTTTTTTATTTTTAGGTTTGGAACACATGCACAAACGTCATATAGTTTACAGAGATCTAAAACCGGCGAATATTTTGCTTGATGAACACGGTCACGTGCGAATATCGGATCTAGGGCTCGCCTGTGACTTCTCAAAAAAGAAACCTCATGCAAGCGTGTAAGTAATTTCAAATTACTATATTATAATAATAGAAACAATGTAATGCACATTTTTAGCATTTTATACCGAAATATGTTTAAACACGTTCGTTTTGTCGTAGTAATATATATCAGCAACTACTAATAGTACGCATTTGAAATAGTTTCAGGTACTTTTAATTTACTGTTATTGCTAAAGAAATAAAAGAAAAAACATTTATTACCTTTGCTTTTCAAATTCTCTAGAATTTGAATGGAATGCTCGAAATATATTTATTTATTTAATTTTAATTTATAATAAATACATACCTAACATCATATAGTGTTATTTACCAAAAATAAATTTCTAGTCTAAACGGGGATTATAAGAATGGGCTTTATTAAAATAAAAAATATGTAAACCTCCTATTACTAGGTTGACTAGTCGGTTTTATGTAAGGATTTCGAATTTTTCTCCATTTGCGCTAGTGTATTGTGCTTTTCTTTGACTGCCTCTTGTAGAGATAAGAATATGACATGATGCTGATTGTTACATACTGTTACAATATAGAGAATAACAATTTATCATTATTTACTTTTTACAGTGGCACACACGGTTACATGGCGCCGGAGGTACTTTCCAAAGGTACCGGCTACGATTCCTCCGCTGATTGGTTCAGTTTCGGCTGTATGCTATACAAACTGTTGAAGGGTCACTCGCCATTCCGTCAACACAAAACCAAGGATAAACACGAAATTGACCGGATGACTTTGACTATGGTAAATATGACCATAATTATTATAAACATGCCAATTTGATTACAGACTTAAATAATTTAGCATAAAAATATTCTATGCTCCCTTTAATTCTCATTGGTATTTTAATTATTTACAAACCATACATAGATAAAAGAGATGTTTCTATCGGGCACAGTCATAATACAGTATCGGAAAAAATTGAGGTAAATACCGTAATTATTGAAAGAATGGAACAAAATTAATTTACTGAGTAGTTTATTAAAACAAAAAAAAAACACTTGTTTCTTTACGATTATTGTTTAATATCACGGGCCATTTAAATATAAAAATTTTACAACCCAAGAGATTGTTAAAAGGTTTGTTTAAAAAAATAGCATAATACACGAATATTAATTCTCGCATAAAAACCACACACTCGAAAAATCGCACGTATTTGGCAATTATATAGCTGTCTTCATACGTATTTTTTTTAATAAAATTATCATAATAACGTAGATAAACCATCATGCTGTGGTTTGGTGTGAAAAAGTTAAATTTGAAAATATTTTGTGCAAAAAAAAATTAGTTGTAAGAAGAGATGTGTTACTTTAGAATATTAAAAATATTCAGAAGCGTTTTTTAATGAATAGTGTACAATGACTGGGCCCAGGTTACAAACATTTCTAAAACATCTCCTTTGAGTTGAGTTATATCAGAAATTCACTGAACAAAGACTTGTTTATAACGATGAAGGTCTTTCCTCACAAGTGAGACTAAACAAGCTGTTACTTTTACGACAAATGATGTTTAAAAATGTACTGCAATTACAAATCTTTTTTGAAATTTCCTTATCGGAACTTGAACATTATAAACTGTTTTTTTTTTTTATACTTGGCATATTTTATAAACAATCTTGGTATGTCTTTTTATTGAAATATAAGTGCATAAAATATATTTGTGATTAATATGTATTAAACCTGGAAAGTCATCCATATGGTCCCGGCATAGAATAGGCCACCCCTTCCTTTCCTGTGGTTGGCAGCGTCCCTCTTAAAATATCTCTAAAAGCTTATCTGTGGTTGCCAACCCGCTTGTCAAACGTGGCAATAACTGTCCGTCTGATATGATACGTAAAAAGCACCCATCCAATACAAAAATACTCATAAAATTACAAATGTTTGTATTTTGCGATTATTGAACCCGCGTCCGTCAGAAGGTGAGGCAATATGTTAAATTGCTGTACCGCCAAAGTCGGTAAAAAAGAAAGATTGAATTTAAATAAAAGGCTGTCTCGAATATTTTTCTGTTTATCTTAGTTTTGAATGACCTGTTTCAAAAAATAAACGTGCCAAGTATATTAAAAAAAAAAATAGATTATAAAAATACATAGTTAAGCTGTTTCCTGTCTACCAGCATAGTATTTTATTATTTTTATTGCACTAATCAGTGATTGACATCCCACACATACCGTACATAGGTATATTAGATATGAAATGAATAATGGATTATATTTTATCTTTAGACTGATTATTTTTCAACCAGCATCCGATTTGTATAATTTGCAATAAATTTAATAAAGCTTTTTATTAACCGTCGTACAATAGCTGCTTAGATTATTTATAGTATCTTATATTTAAAATGATTTAACATTTAAAACAGCACGGTACTTACGTTTTACCGTTACCATATAAGGGAGGCAAAACGTATGCATTTGTATTATTTTCTTCGACGGTTTCGTGAACATGCACGAGCATTTTAAACATGCATACATCTTAATATGCAATTGCATAGGTATATTTTGCTTCCCAATTATAATCGTAAAATAGTACAATATCTTGTCGTGGTACGGTAAATACTGAAAGCTATGTAGATTATGTACGAATAGTAGCTGAGTATTGGATCGCTTTAATGCATTTTTATATAAATAAAATTTATTATTCCGTATATACCCTTATACTATTTTCAGTACATTTTTAAACACTACATTCACTTATTCAACTTTAATTCTTTCGCAACTCACTTTGTATGGCAATGCCTATCAATAATTTTAATAAAAATAAGTTAAATATATCGCTACTTGTCTTTCTTGTGACGATTTATCTTTAAAATTTTGCTTATGCTTACTGCTTTCTCCTTATACCATCCGACCATAATGTGCATGATTCTCTCGCACAAACATGCCATACGAAAAAGGAGAAATGCATGTATTGTTAATGATAAGTTTTCATCAAGATGGAATAATGTCTGCAATAGAATTACAATGTGTACCAGAATGTGGAACTGCCCGAATCGTTCAGTCCCAGCCTGAAGAGTTTGCTGGAAGGTTTGCTTCAGAGAGATATCAACAAGCGATTAGGATGCAAGGGGCGGGGGTAAGTACAATTGCATGTGATAATTCATAAGATTGTATTAAAATGGTGTTGGAATTTTATTTGTTATAACAATACTAAAGTGCTCGTGACGTTTATGTTTTGATAGTGCGTTATTGCCATATTGATGTTATGTTATCCTCATGTGGTTAGCATTCCCACATTTAAGTTGAATTAAACAACATTCTATTTCATAAAATGCATCAAGCTGTTTAAGTTACATGTCACGCCAAAGATCGCGACTGCATAAAAAACTATTAAAGTTTATAATTAAGTAAATATATTAAATATTAAAGTTTATGATTTTGAAAGTGATAGTTACTCTTCTTACTGCGCGGTTGGGTAAACATGTTCGGTAGATTAAATAATTTCCGGAGAAAAGGTGATAAATTACAATAAAGTAAATCACCATTCTTTTTATTCTAATAAAAAATATTATATATTATTTGATGTTCCTTTATATATGTGTATATTTAGTGCAAAAAAATAAATTAAAGTCCTATATTTCTTTAGCTATCTAGCCAGTCTGGTAAAAGTAGAATATGTCGTTCTTTTGTGGAGAGATACTTATGCCCAACAGTGGAACGTTAATGGGCTGTAAGATTTAAAATTACTTTCCTATTACGACTCATATTTTTTGGAGAAAATTATTGAGTTTCATAAATAAAATTATCATAAAATAATGATGATGGTATTACTGAAATAAGACAAGTTGGTCAAACGATGCGTCTAACTACAAATACGACAATAATTGCTCACACATTTACAACTGTGTTTAAGTTCAACTACTTTTAAAAATAAATATTGGACTTTTTGTAAAGAATTACAAAATCTACGTTAATAGCTAAATGTGTAATTATTGTAATGTAACCGAAATATTTTATATTACTCGTAATATTATTGCAATACGATAATTTAGATCGAGCCAAGGGGCTGGATAATCAATCTATCTATCGATCTATAAGGATAGACAAGTGACAAATTTATCAATAGACATATTATTGCTACCGCGTGCGTAACATAGAATAAGATAGCGTGTTCGGTACGTATATATAAATATATGCGTATCCTAATAAAAACGTGACTACAGATAGATTCGTTTGCCACCTGTCTACGGCTGGTATCTTAAGTTGTCGCATGCAGAAGCGAACATTCACCAATTGTCTTAGGTTGTGACTTTGTATGTTTGTCTGGTTTTTCGTAACACTGGGTATTAGGGTGACTTCGTACAAAAGCCATCTGCATGGATACCTCTGTCCCGTCCCGTGTTTCTGCCGTGAAGCAACTGTGTGTGCATGTCTGTGTTTCGGTTTAGAAGGTGGGTTATGGCACTGAAGTTACTGGGTACGGAGACACAACACTGTAGTCCTCAGGAATGGCATCACAGTAGGTATATTCAGTGATACCCATTACTGTTCATATGTATAGGTGACGGTTACCACTTTCCATTAGGTGGACCGTCAGCTTGTTTGCCATACTAAGTATTATAAACAGGGTATTTTAGCTTGAGTGACAAGTAATCACTCAAAACAGTCAAAAAGTAGTTTGTGAATCTGTAATAATGCTCTAAAACTATTCAGGCCTTTTATAAGTGATTTAAAATAAGTACCAGAGAGAAACTATGAAGATTGTGTACATGGCATCTCACTCGTGTTCCTATCGCCATGGAGCTGTGCCTGTATAATTGTTTCTATTTGAGGGCTGAGATGTGGCAGTGACGTTACTGAGTTCGGAGGCATGGCTATATAGTCCTTTGGAATAACAACGCGTGGTTTGTACCATATCTATAGAACACGGTTACTACTTTATATCAGGTGGATTGTCACCTTATTTCCCATACCGATTTACATAAAAAATATGCAATGTCTATGGTATTGTTTATATCTACAGACGACGGTTACCATTTTCCATCAGGTGGACCATCAGCTTTTTTGCCATAGTGAGTTGCATAAAAAAGTGGTGTGATATTAACTGATACTTATTGCAGAGCTGACGAAGTGAAGGAGCACGTGTTCTTCGCCGGTATCGACTGGCAACAAGTGTACCACCAGAAATACACCCCGCCATTGATACCACCACGCGGGGAGGTTAACGCAGCCGATGCTTTCGATATTGGCAGTTTTGATGAGGAAGACACCAAGGGTATCAAGGTAGAGAGCATACTAATCATACTAATATCATAAGTATGAAGTTTGACACGTTTTAACGGATTTGAATAATGAATTTAGTACACTGACTAACTATGTCCTAACTTAATGTGTAAGATACTTAACGTACTAATTCACACGAGCAAAACCACTGAATATAAGTAGTTTCTTTTATAAATTTGCACCAAAATTTATTGAAATAATTTAGAAGTCTATTTTTCTACATATTTATGAATGTATTCCATATATGTTATTTTATATATTTTTATTCGGAAATTAATATTCTGATATTGTATTACAGTTAACTGAATCAGATCAGATGCAGTACAAAGATTTTCCATTGGTAATATCGGAACGCTGGCAAGCCGAGGTAGCGGAGACTGTGTTCGACACCATCAATCAGGAAGCTGACAAAATGGAACAAAAGAAAAAAGCCAAGCAAAAGCAGAAGTTCGATGCTGATGAAAAAGGTATAAAAATTACAGTCGTGTATTAGTATTTTTTTGCTAATACACGACTGTAAAATTAGACGGGGTAACCAGAAGAATAAAGGATATGCCATTTTTATACCATCATCATGTCAGCCTTTAACTGTCCACTGCTAAACATAAGTCCCCCCCTTGGTGGGGTCTGCTAGTAGTTGCCACGCTTGTCAGCCAGATAGGCAACGGCAGTCAGACTTTGGAAATGTTTAAAGAGGGACGTTGCTGCCTGTCCCTCGCCTTCCCTTCTTACTATACCCACGAGAACGGAAGGGATCCTCTATTCCATGCCGGGCCCACACGGCGGCCATTTTTATATATTCTTAAAAAATATATTAGGATAACAAAATTCCTTTATTATTTATATGTCACTTGTCGATAAATTACACGGTCAAACGTTAGATCCAATGTATTAGGGCCAAATCAATCATCGTCTCTCAGATTAATTAGGTTTGTTAACACTCAAATGCCTTGAACACACACACACACACATTATTATAAAATACTTATAATGTTTATGTTAATTTCTTTTTTAATACATCCACCTGCTATTTTTCACAATGTCGTGATTTTCATCACGCAATAAAAAGCCAATAGTATTGTAATTTGTACAATAAATAATGTTATTTGTAATATAAAAAAAAACACATGTACACATATATAGTACATCCTGTGGTGTTCAAATTTATAAACGATTCCTTTTCCAAAGATCAACAATTCTCCAGAAGATACGTAGTATGTATTCCATTGGGTGTTCATGGTGCAAACCGTTTATTGTTGATTTCTGAAGAATTGCTGATTTTCGAACAACCCATCCTACTAGTTTGATCACTAAAACGGTCCCCGTGATCTGTCACAAACGGTTTTTTAAGGATCGGACGGTAATGAGGCGCTCTCAGCGCGCAGTCAAGCGTAGGTAGTGGTCCTTGTGAACTGATTGTTCTAATTATGCATGATTCCAATTTTCTGGATACTTTCCCAGTCTTTTGAAATCGATTCCAAGAATTATTTATCGTTCGTTGTGAAAAACCAACCTGAAAAGCTATAAAGCGTTGCGATAGTCTTTTTAATGTTATGGTTCTACTTGCGGTTCACAAGTCCATATGTCTTCGAGTCCTAGGCATATTTTTTCAAAATGTAAAAAATAATTAATTCATTGGTTTAATAGTAATTCAACTATTCAAAATCTTCATTTTGGTAAACATGTTATGTTCGCAAAAAAAAAAAAAAAAAAACACTTATAAATGCCTCGGCCAGTTACACATAAAATTTTTTATAAAGACAAAGGCACATGATACTAAAAAAATAGCTAGCTAAGTATACTACTTCAAAGTTAAAAATGGGCTCAGATATCAGAATAAACAAGTGACCCTTATTTATTTTAAGTAGTATTTATTAGTATATCTCAAACATCAACAATAATAATATAATTTTCCATTATTTCAGAATCGGATTGTATTTTACATGGCTATATAAAGAAGCTGGGAGGTCCATTCGCAAGCGCGTGGCAAACACGTTATGCAAAATTGTACCCAAACCGGCTTGAGCTCCACCTCGAGAACAGCGCTAAACCCGAGATGATACTTTTGGATACTGTCGAAGAAGTCTCTTCTGACTTCGTCTCCATCAAAAGCGAGCAGTGCATCGTTCTTAGGACGAGGAACGACACTAAAATCGTGCTTACAAATACGGTAATATAGTAAAATTTTTTGTTTTATTGTATGTTATTATGAGCTATATAATTTTTCTGCTGTATACCACCATTCAAACAATATGCAAAGTAAGCTGTTTAACGGCAGAAATATAATTTATATAGTGTTTAATATAATCTATATATAATTATTTTTTACTGTGAGCCAAATTTGTATTTTGCCCGACACAGCATCGTACAAAAATTGTGCAACTTACAATAAAAATAAATATATTGAATAAAACATACATATTATAATATTTTTATTGTGTATGTAGAAAATGAAAAAAGCTCTGTAACAATGAACCTAAACTAGGAATAGTAACTAGCCGTTTACGCTAGCCTTTTCGTGTCTTAGTCAGTGTCAACGAAATCATGCATCTTACAAAAATTTCATAAATATCAGGACGAGATTGGACTAAAGGAGTGGGCGATATCGCTGCGGTCGGCGCACAAGTGCTCCCAGGAACTACTCGCGTCCATGGCGAAGAAAGCGGGCAAGATTTACGGCACCGACGGCGCTAAGGAATCGCTAGCGCTCGGGCGACCGCCGCCACCTGCTGCCTCGCCAGCGCTAGCACGTGCGCCGAATGGGAACAACTAGCACGAGCTACCCGCGCCCAATAAGGGCGCGAAGATGTTCCGCCGCTCCAAGAGCGCCGCGCAACTCATCAAGTGAGCTACTTAGCTGCCGTCTCCACAACCCGCCGCGGATATGGACTAGTTGCAACCGCGCACATGCGTGTGCGTGTGCGTACGCGTAGGCGTGTTTGTTCATGTATGTGTACCTCTTGCGGTCTCCCGTAGTGCCGCTAAAGACTATAGTGACTCTTAGGACTGCCAATTATTACTAAATGAATGCTGTTCGCATTTTATTGTTGTACGAATTAATGTGATAGGACCGATCAAATTTAATAAAATAAAATGTATAAATATATTTCGTTTACCTACAGTGATTTCTCGAATGTGGATAATAAAACTTTTGTAATCATTTGCACCGATTGGATTTTGTAATTATTAATGTAACGTTCTAGATGTTGTATTTAACTTTGTAGTAGATATTGTAAAAATTTAAAAACTTAAATCGAGTAGATAAGCATAGCGTCTATATGTGTTTGTGCAATAGATCAAAAATATAATAAAATTCAAAAAATGTTACTATTGGTCGAAGCGGTTAAAATATTTAGAAAATCTTGACGATTTTAACAAAAATTGAATTGTTCGTTGTGCGTATACTTATAGAAGCTTCAACTTAATCGATTTAAATCGTAATTAGGAATTCTAGCACTTTGGTTACACCTCCGACTATTGCACGTAATACTATTATTATATTATCGACATTGTTTTGTGTTGTCTCTGGTTGCTCCGTTGACAATTGTATTAAAATGTATAATAAAAAAGTTCCTTCACAGAATTTGTGGAACAAATTACATAACTCTAATGAAAAGTACTTAAATGTTAAGTTTCTTTACTTTCCGTTCCGAACTAGCTATTTGCAATAATTCTCAACATAATTTTATATAAAAAATAGAAACCAGTATAAGTAGATCTAATAAAAAAAATCTCTTTCGTATTATAAATATTTAGAGGCAATACTTTTTTAACAACATTTAGGTGTGGTGATTAATATAACAATAGTTGTAAAGGCAATACATATTTAGAAAATTTTAAAAGCATGTTCAATGTCAATATATTTGTGGGGTTTTATTTTATAAATATATATATTCCATAGATGGTTTATCGTATCAGGTAGCTGTCATTTTACGTCACAATTCTTTCAGTTGTATCGTTGCGTCTCAATTATGCCTAAATTTGTACAAAGTATTGATTCTTCCAAGTCTCAATTCAGCGCAGTATACTTAAGTAGATGTGACAATGATTGTATTTGACGTGCGTGGAATTAATATTTAAGAATGTATGGAATAATTAATATTCAGATATACTTTGGAAATAATAGTTTAGTGTTAGAACGATCTGAGTTTAGATATCAAGTGTGCTCTTTATTGAGATATAACTTTAAACTTTTCTTTCTTAAACTTAATTGTTAGGAAGAGGTCGAAATAAAAAAAAATGTTAATAATGTGTCGATGGTAAGTGTACTAATATGCAGAATTGAGAACTGGAAATATGAACAAATATGTGACAAGGTAAAATTTTAATTGTCCAGAATTGTGAATTGCAGGAATGCAGAGCTACCCATAGTGGCCTCGCCAGTATGACATTTTGTATGTTGTGTATGTTTTATATGTGAAACAATGCAATCTAGTTTGATTGTAATGGGTATTTTTCAGAGTAACTACTAATTATTACTACTAGTAATAGGATCGGAATGAATCGAAAAGTATATTTTTCAAGTTTTAGTACCAGTAAGAAAGTGGAAACATTTCGTTGCATTACTATTAGTGAGAATAGTGGGATTTTATCTAGTTTAACTATAGTACTTAACATGTATAGATAGAGAATAGCGTTTTTTTTTTATATATTATTTTATTCCCGACTAAAAATTAGATAGTAATTATATCATAGAAATATTTCTATGGCATATATACGTACATACGTGTTATATAATATAGAAATCTCTCTGTTCTTGTGAATAGTTAAAAAAAGTATAATATCAGTTTTCTTACTGGTAACCAATTTAGAAACACAAATTTACAAATTTTACTAATAGTAATATTTACTAGTAATTTTGGGGAATGCTCGATTGTAATCATTGATTGTGTCTGATGCAGATTTAGTTTTTATGTTTTTCTGTACAAAATGTTCCATATGTTGCCATAATATTAATATCCACCTTTGTTACAAATTGTATAAGATTTTATTTTGTTTACATCGTGTGAAGTAGCGCGCGGCGCTACCGAACTTAATGATTACTAAGCAATAATGAAAACTCATAAAATATGACATGACAGGGTGAACTTGTATCGCGGACATGAACATTATATAATACTATAGTTTCTGTAATATACTTTAAATTAATCTTTAGATTACTTTAAAGAATTTTAAAATGTAGAATAGTTCGCAATAGATATTAGAAGTGTATATATTGTAATAATGGAATTGGATAATGTAATATCGCCATTAGTATGGATGTGTATTGTATAGCTAATGCCTAAACTTGTAATCAAATGGCGTTATGTTGAACAGGTGAATTACGAATTTAAGTTATATTAATTTGTTATATTATAATAAATTCTAATATTTATTAACAGATGCCTAGGTATTGGAGTATATGAATATCAAAATGCCTGTTTAGTGTTGGTATACTATATCATAATTCTAACTAGATGCTAGTCAGTTATTACACTGCGTTAAAGTCATTGTTTTTAATGAAATTATTAAAAATGTAATGTTGGAGCAGTATTATAGGTTAATTGTTTGTTTCTCAGTGAAATCATTCTATTAAATGTGATATATCTTGTAAAGAATTTCGTAGTCGCACCCGATACGATAGTGTGTTTCTCTATGATGGTGATAAACTTTGCTTGTGTACTTAGTATTGATTTGTCATCGCAAATCATTATTTATTCTTGTATTTGAATAATTATATTAAAAGGTGGACACATAGGTAATGTGGTAGCGATGATTTTTCCGGGTGTGGCCTAGGTAAATAGTTTTTCCCTCTACATACAGAACAATTGCAAGCACATCATAGCTTTGCGAAAGAGTACACAAATTTGAAGGCCAAAGCTGTAGAAAATTTTCAACATTCCGGTATGCCAAATTAGTTTACTATAGTGAATAATTGTAACGCATTTAAGAAGTTTTTTTTTTTTTATTTATTTACTTTAATCAATTTCCACAAATACATTTAGCACAGTTAATGAGGTTTGTTCTAAGTTAAGACGGATTTGTAATAGGCTCTACTTGCACCTGACTAGATCTGCATCGGACAATGTGTTACATACCTCCGTTAGTGAATATTTTTATTGTGAACCTACAGTACGTGTAGTAAATTGTTTATTTAATCAATTTGTTGTTTTATTCACATTTGTATAAGTTCAACCATTGTGATATGGTGCTTAGCTATTTGAACATAGGATGTATATATTATATATACATCCTATGTTGTACATGTGAATATATTATTTACATTTTAAATATAAATAATATATTCAGGAGTTACTTTCATAATTCCTAGTAAAGAAAATTTTGTTTTATAAATTCCGTCAAACCAATCTCTATTCGAACCAACTGAAGTAAATATTAATAGTGCAGAATGGGACTAATTTGATTTGAAAGCGTTTTTTTTTTTTTTATCTAATTAATGTCTTCTATAATTTTAATATTTAATTATGTATATCTCATAAAACTGAAACCAGGTTAACTAGACCTTCTAACTTCAAAGGCCTTGTATTTATTTTGCTGGATATAACGAAACACCGCATATAATATCCATAATCTATGCATAAATAGAATTGTTTCATAGATGTAGTATAACATAAAGGTTTCTTTCGTATTTTCTTTTTAAACTGTTGGTCATTAATTTTAGATAAATAATTGTATATTTGTGTTCATCTTCTTTATTTGACAAACTTGTCAAAGCTCAAAAGTAGATTCAAACAGTCAGTGGCAAATCAGATTACAAAAATTAACTCTTTAAAATTTTAAATTATGTTTGACGATATTGTCTATTTTAGTTCTTTATTAGTTTGCATTTCCTTAGGTGGTTTTTACAAAAAAATTGAAAATTCAGAAATAAAACGCAATTATGGGGCGGGTCTTGGCTTACTTGTGGCTTGCTTGATTTGTGGCCATCACATTTACCACACAATATTTCTCGTTTGGGGCAACATTATTATAATCAAATGTTGTGATAAACGGTAATTTGATATGTATCCCTTTGCGTAAAATAGTATTAAATGTGTGAGTTATCTGTAAACTAAATTTCATTAAAATTCGTTCAGCCGTTTAGAAATCATCTAATTGTCGCGCTCCTTTGAGTTCCACCCCTATCAGAGGTTGGACAACAAGGGCAATCCAAATTTTTGAAGCTTCAACTTTAAACAGCGAGATGGTGCTGTGCACAAATCACTCCCGCAGGTCCTTCAGCCAGGAGTGACGTCTCCTTCCAGCAATTCTTTCATTATCTAATTATCACAAACATTATTTATTTATTAGTATGATTAAAATGGTTGTGTAAGAATACAATGAGAATAGGGGGTAGATAGAAGTATGATGATATTAATCTGTGATAGAGATAATAACACAGGTAAATTTAATAATACGGTGTATTGTATGCACTATAATCTTACCTTGGATTATAGTGATCTACCATTAGGCGAAGCGTAAGCTTCACTCATCTATATGATGTAACATAAAACATAAAATGAGTGTTCAAAGAAAATTTGTTCCACTTGTTTCTACCATGTTTTATAAATTGGGTGACTGCAAATAAACGGGCAGTCGTCCAATTTTGAGTTTTACGAGCATCTCATTGTTGTAAGTTCTTGTTATTTTTTTTTTTAATTCACACTTATTTGACACTGGTAGACAGGTGGTGATACCATCTCAAATATTTAAAAACAGACTTTCTTTTCAGTTTTGTTCACCAAATAAGTATAGCTTACACATGGACCTACCTTTTGTACTTGCATTTTAACCTGACGTCCACTAAGTACGTGTTATGGATACACCAAACTATGGCGTTAAGACTCGTGGGACTGGCTTTTGAAGTAAATATGGCTGACAGGAGTAAAATGTTCCAAAGAGGGCTGTCAAGTTCCAAAATGCCTATCGACGATAGCAACGGATTATCTTCAGAACCGAGCATTCTTGATATAGTTGCATATTCTTATTTCTTTATTGGATTACATAAAGGTATGGTGTGTAGGGCAATTTCTAATTAGAATTTCAAATGTAACGTAATGATAAGTAGCAATAGTTTAAGGCCGCCAATCGGTGATTGAGAAATTCGAAATAGATATTTTCAATATTTATAAGAATAGTTAGGAGGCAAAAAAATAAGCTTTGTTATTTTTTTTTATGCAACTTAAAATGGCAAACAAGTTGACGACCCACCTGATTGAAAGTTGTAACCGTCGCCTATAGACATGAGTAATAAATACCATGGGGGTGGTAGTCACTTACCACCAGGTGAGCCGCATGCTCGTTTGACCCCTGTGTTGTAAAAAAAATATATATACTATTTCGCCCATGATACCCCCCATGGGTTGCCATTCCTGAGGACTCTGGTATTATTCCTCTGTACCCTGTAAAATCACTGTCATATTCCACACTTCAACCGAAACATAACAATGCAAACGCAACTGCTTCACGGTAAAAAAACGGATTCGACAGCGGCAGAATTTAATAAAATATAATGTTTAGTACTAGCTAATGATTTAGTACATTTGTTATTTTTTTCCTTTAGGTCCTTATTACAGATGGAAAATCTTCAACGACCACTTTAACGGTCCCTTTGGAACTTTGGGTGATTGGAGAATTGTTACCGAACAAAAACTAAAAAAGGCTTGTTTGTATACACTCGGATATCTTTTGTTTACGTTGAAATATTCCCCACAGGTTATACTTATTTTCTCCTTAGTTGTCTAACGATGAAAAATAACTATAAACATAATTTGGTCCATTGCATGTAGTAATAATCGATAATGGCATCCTTATCTAAGTAGCTCGTGCCGACTTTATGGAACTTCGCCGTTGACAATATGAATAAGCTTGAAATCGCTCATCGTGGCGAGCTATAAAAAATGGATCAGGAGAACTATAGTATCCGATCCCAGGCAGCAAGATGACGTCTGCGACTTAATTAAGATTTCAGTTTTAAATCATTTTAGAGTCTGAAAATCGAGGTCATTATCACCAATAATTGCTACCTCGGATATACTTCAAAAGATAGATAACTTACTTGTAATACTGCAACTTTTTGAAAAGAAAGGCTCTTGAGTGGTGGTTTTATAGAGGCGACTGCAATGTAGCACGACTGCCTCCTCACATTAAGCGATAACCTCGAATCTGTTGCAAGGAATCCGTGAATGCGGATTGCTTAGGATTATTCGTAATATCAGTCAATGGTCGATCCTAAAAAGGTCTATGTTTAGCAATGGACGTAATTATGATGATGTATCAGTTGATTGCATATCTCCTTTAAATAGGTTAGGAACACATTTCTATTCTATGGACTGTTTACTGGAACATTTGGGGGTGAGGATTCGTAATAATGGAGTCTAGCAGCTCCAGTGCTACCAATATATCCTGTCAAGTCAAACTCCATGCAATTTCCCTACAAACATGATGGGTAATTTCTGCCACCGTATTTCACCAGCGTATATCGATGGTATAAGCAGATTTATAATTCAATTTTCACCTTAAAAAAGAAACACTTCTGTTTTTAGATATACTACGACGACAACTTTTACGTAAACTATGGAACGGATCATCGTTTCCTCTACAACATTTCACAACTAATGAGGCACTTCTTCCAATGTCACATCGTGTTGATGCTGTGCACGAGTGTGGCCACGGAGGCCGGGTTCGGGGTGTATCCAGCCAAATGTCAACCTTTACCAGGCTATGGTCCTTCCGTACAGTACAGCTTTTTGAAATTAGTGTATGCTAACCGTATCATTCATATGTTTTATTTTTATTCAACTTCTGATCTCATTGAATGGTGAATGAGTTGACAGCCTACTTGATGGAAATTGGTAACAGTTATTTATGGGCATGAATAGTACTATGATGCCAGAGGAGCTCTTTTACACCCGGACATGGTAAAGATAAACACACTTGTGACTTCCAGAGTTTAGTTCCATTTATCTTCCTGATTGGTCATGTAATTCACACGAATTTTTTTTATATTTAGTTGATATCGGAACAGACTTTGATGATATCTTTTAAATTATTAAATATCCTTAAAATTCGTTAATTTCAATCTGTATTCCGTACCATATCGAAATTAAATTATTCAATCTGTATTCCGTACCAAATCAAGTGCATATCCTATACAATGACTGGTTACTAGCTTTGTTTTAATCATTATTTAACTAAAGAGTATATAATCAATTTAGGACAGATACACCAGGCGTAGCACTTATGCAGGAATATAATTTTTCAATGTTGAAATGTTTCGAAAATGAAAAACTATTAATCGGACCTAAGATGAAAGATACAGTGCGATGCTGGGATATGTCAACACAATATTGGTTTTGGGCATATATATATAAAAACTTAACGAAAACAAAAGCAAGCAAGGAAATCAAGTAAATTGTTATATCATAGGTTAAAAAAATATTTTTCTTAAATTAAATTTTTCGACCATTATCGTCGTAATTAAAGTTACTTACCGTATCTTTTAATAAAGATAATTAAAAAGTACCTGAAATGTACCCTACATTTGAATCTTGACAAAATGTAACCATCTTGAGAAGTAAACGAGCGGCGCGGGGTTGCAAAATAATCATTAATATCGCATAAGAATTAGCGAAGATATAGTACCTTGATACTATTTAAAAAAAAATGCAAATGATATGAGAAAATCTTTTTTTATAAGTCAAGTAGCCAATACGTACCTATTATAGGTACTTCAGTCATAAACAAAAGTAGCTATTTGTGGAGTATTAGACTGTATACTCGACATTTTTATCGAGTAAATAAAAATATCAGTGTACGAGAATATATTTTCAAGATAGAATCTTGATATCTAATACTAAAATTTATGACCTATCTATACATGAAACTACTACTAGTGCGTATTAAAATATTCGATATACTTATTTAGCTTAGATATTTAGATACTAAATTATACATATTTCCAGGAGTGCCTGCTCATTTCTTGCATGGACAATCTGGTACGGACCTAAGCTACAGCAAGTTATATTATCTGCCACTCTTTGGGTTTACGTGCATCTGGAGTCTGAATATAGCAAGCTCTACAACCCAGTAGGCTCGGTAACTGTTAACAACCGATATATTTCCAACAACAACATTTCTAGTTTACTTTTTTTTTAAACTTATGTTCATTGTATATATAAAATGTAATGTGGTCTGTAGTTTAAAAAATATAAATTCGGTACTGTCTAAAAATCCCACAAACAGTAAGTGTGATACGTCGCATTCAATTTTGTATAGAAAGATGGACCATAGATCAAGATAATGTAGATAGGGTGAATGATGTTATTGTAAACTCGGATTCAGGAAGTATAAAACCTTAGTTTTCAGAACTGTTAACGAATAATGGATGACGGAGAGCGGTAGTATGGGTGGCACAAAACTTTTTGGGTAGTCTATTCATGTTGTATAAGAGTGTATAAATTTATATATGTAATTGTCTAAATAATCTTAACATATTCTGATCACAATTTTTATATAACTTTAATGAAAATGCATAGATATAGATTCAACATAAAGTGTATAATTTAACATTTCAGATGAAATTATCATGGGATATCGGTTTTTCAATAATGCGGTTGTTCTGTTTGATCTACTTGACTCCGTGTTTCATAATTTCCGATACCACAATAATGTTAAAGTACTACAATTCTATATTTTGGATGTATCATATAGTTTTATTGTCGCTTATTGTTGTAGCAGTCATCATAAATAAGAATAAAGAAGATTTACGACTTTAAAGTAGTGGGAATACAAAAATGTAATTGGTTGATTTACATATGTTACATATGTCTATACACATTCCGAAATTAAGCATAAGTTTTTACTTATGTTTCAGATAGAGTGATACTATGCGGTAAATCCTTATCCTCACAGATCTTTCTGCGAGTGCTCAGGTTGTAAAATGAGCTCCCCGCCGAGGTTTTCTCTAAAGACCAAAGTAAATGACACCTCTAGTGTTAAAGGCGTCCATAGACTACAATGACTGCTTATCATCAGACAGGCTGTATGCTTGTATGCTACTTTTGTGGTATAAAAAAAAATCCTTAAATGTAAAAAGTATCACAATTTATAATGCTACTACCTACCTACCGCGTAATTTTTATTATGTATGACAATAGATAACTGTGACTGATAATAAAATCGTTTTTGCAAATATTTTGTATCTTCATTTCATACAAATATTTACTATATATAAATTAGAAGGAAACTTTTTTGTGAAGTAAAATAAATGTATATAAAATTATTCACACTACTAATGTATATTTAAATATTCTTTGGCAATGACAAATATATGTTATGAAATGTTAAGATCATAACTCATAACCATTTAATTTTTAATAAATTTTAATCCACATACAATCTCAGTTGAGATGTATTATCTGATGTAAAAATATGTTTTTTATCTAACACATTTGGATTATTTGTCCGTGTTGAAACTAGATCGTAAAATACGTTTTATTATCTCACCAGGGTTTAAAGTTATGTCTGAGCATTTGTTTTTATATGAATTTTGACGCAAACTATAACTATTATACGAAAACTGTTAACTTTATTTTAAACTAGTCTTTATTATGTCCGCCGTTAACTGTCCACTACTGTACATGAGGCCACTGATGTTTGCCAGCAGTTGCCACGTTAGGCAAGCGGGTAAGCAATCGCAGTTAGATTTTGATGATGTTTTAAAGGGTGCTGCACTGCTGCCTATCCCTCGATCATTAAGTTCCCTTACTTGCCTCTTACGACATCTACAGGAGTGGATGGGTTTTAACTAGTTTTAGCTAAGAGGAATTACTAAAACATATATTGGATTTGATTTTAAGGTAGCGCCCCCTAAAATTGTCCCTAAAATCTCAAATGTTTGAAGGGCAAAAGTCCGTTTAAAAATTCTAATTGTAGTATATACAAGTAGGTATTATAATAAAAAGACATTATGTAACATGTAACATATATTTACTATAATTATCTAAAATAACGAAATACACAATTATAACACGGTAATAATGTATATGATAAGCCTCTAGATAAAGCACAAGGTTGTACTTATATAAAACATTAAATGATATATATTTCATCATAATTCTAACCAAAAACTAATGGAAGACTGCTAGTTTGGTCAAATTTATTTTAAATCCAACTACGCATTAGTAGCTTAATTTGTCCAGGTATTTTCACACTTAGCTTCGTGATGAGGCCATTGCACGCTTATTATTAGCTTATACATAGTTTATTATATGCTCTTATTCATATAAATGCTGAACGTCTGATAAACCTAGAGTTTAATAGCTAAACTATTTTGTCTCTTTCTCTTATGCTACATTTCCAATTTGAAAGAAAGTAACAAAACAATACAATAGCTAAAACAAGTTTGTAGTAGGTTTTAGTTTCTATGAATAAGGGGAATAATTTATAAAATAAGAAAAATTCATTAACAATTAAAATACCTATCTATAATTCGATGCATAATTAAAATATCTTTACTTCTATCGAATATAACTTAAAATAAACCCAATACAAAAAGATCGCGATGAAATCATCTCATAAGTTTGGGACTATATATATATATACTTTAAATTTAAAACACACTTTCACAAAGTCAGGGGTTAAAATATAACAATATAAACCATAGATTAAGATATCGGTAAGTAAGTATATAAGATCAGTTCTGTGATGCTATTTCTCTGCCTCTAAAATTAATATTTCAATTTGATATAATAGCAAAATCTTTATTTTAAGAACCAACATGAAAAAGTCAAAATTATTATAAATTTAATTTATGATGGTCTATAAAAGTATTTCGTGACAATATCAAATTAAAATATTAGATACAGAGAAACGGCGTCTCAGAATCGACCCCACTGTCACTGTAAAAATTAATTTTTAATAATTATAAATTAATTATAAAATATGATAAAAATAACAAGAACAATATTAAATCAACAATTTTCAAGCAACAAACATCGTTAACTAGTAATAATAAGTACTTATTGTTTATACAATTATAAATACATTTAGGTTTTAATTAATCTAAATAGAAGATGTAATGGAAAGTCTTTATAATATGAAATCCAGTCATAAAAATGAACATACTTTTAATTTTTACAGACAGATAGATACCATAAATGATTAGGAAACTAAGATTTATTGATAACACCTTCCCCCACTAACTAATTGGAAATTGTAATCTCCAATATTGTTTTAGCCAATTGTCCAAACTTATTTCGACAGTTATGGATAAACATTGAATCGAAATTAAAAAAAAAAAAGAAACCGTCTTCGATTCAACAGTTAACTGGCAATATATTGTAACTAAATTTTATAAGAGACAGAAAACATTGTAACTCGTAACGCTCAAGATGCGATGGACGTCGCCATCTTACTTTATCTCTATCTTAATAGATTTGTTTGCTACAGGATTTTTTTTAGTGCTTTACATTACAATCACACCGATGGTCTCTTCCTCAAACATGGGTACCTTGTGTTATGAGGAACCAGGTAACGAATATTCGGAGACACAACTTAGAACACCGGTGGGTGTTCTAAGTTGTGTCTCCGAATATTCGGATCGGCAACTGAACACGGAACCTCATTGACGCAAACCAACGTGCCTACTACTGTGCTATGGAGATTATCAAGGCTGTTTAGGGGGATGATTAGGATGAGTGTTATTTTTTTTTTATAGAAATAGCTTCCCATATTATATGGGACGTCAAACATGAAGTTTTCTTTTTTAATATAAAATGTTTCAATTTATTCTCTTCCTTGAGGAATATTAGTTTCATAAATACTATTGTTAGATTTCACAATGTAACAATTTTTCTATTTCACCTTGTATTCAGACATTATCTATGTACTTACACCTTTATCTTATTTGTGTAGACTAAATAATAGTTCTGAATAAAGATTATTATGCAAATAATAAAGTAAAATGTTTTATATTACTTAGGTACTTCGTTGATCTTAGAGATTAATGTATAACGTAATTAACAATTACACACGTAAAACAATAAGGCAAACCTTGTTAATTTTTAAAAGCTTTAACATAAATTATAATAAATGATTGAAGATAGTTTTGACATCATAGTATACATGTTATGGAATTCTGTTTTTTCAATCACTGGCTTTTCAATTACTTTATCTAATTATTAAAACACTTTTCTGCAATTTCATATTTTAGGTTGGGTTCAAGAGCATTGCAATATTTAAAATATTTCAAATTTTGTGTATCAAATCCGTACTACATCCATAATAAATAATCACAATGTGATTTTTAATAGTAATATCAATGCAGAGGTTGTAAATATGATATTTATAAAATATCATAATAAAACAGTGGAATTAGAGCTCAGATGATCTATAACCATTTAAAACTTTGATATTAATTTGATATTGTCTATAAATTTGTTCTGATTATCCTTGGAAATAATTTATTCAATTTTTTTCTGAATTTGTTCAGCAAGTTTGTTGGACAGTTTTTTTTTATACCACTGAGGTGGCAAACAAGCATATGGTTTGATTGATAGTAAGCAGTTACCATAGCATATGAACACTTGCAATACAGTGCAAGCACTACAGCTGCACTGTTTTACTGTGCTTGTTAAATTGAATTAATGATTGGCATTATTGTCTTCTGAATATTGTCTTTCTTTTTATAAATTATTAAAAGTTTAATTATGCTTACATGTAACTCAGTTTTTCTTAATTTCAACTGCCTTAATTTTTATTGTGGGGTTTTCAATGAAGCTTTTATTCTGTACAAGTCTCAGTTCGATTAGCGCTCGAGGAATTTTCCCAGTTGGATGCACAGCTCTCGCTTTTTCATAAGTGTTTTGTACAATGCTTTGAAGTGTCGCTATAGTTCTTTCCAGAGTCTCTTTTACATTGTTTTTAGTTTTGTACGACCATGCCAGAAAGAGCGCCGCGAATAAATCACCGGTTCCTGTGAATGACGCGTCTACCTTTGGTATTTCTATTTTATAGCAGGAGTCTGGAAAACAGAAAAAAAAACGGTTTTAATACAAATATTAAAATTAAACAAAAAGAATAAGAAATTACTTGTACAGAGACACAAATAGAAGTTAATATTTTAATAGGTACATAGCCATAGTAACATATAAGAAAATGTTTAAAATTCTCGAAAATTTCACATGATAAACTGCTAATCTATATTACTGTCATACCAAAAATTACCTTTTGTGCTAGCAATTCCAATCATACTGGTATCACTCCCTAAATCAGTACTGGATAACACAACAGTACTAATTCCTTTCTGATGAAGTAGGTTAATGGCCTTCAAAGCGTCATCTAGATTTGTAACCTTCACTCCTGTAATTAGTTCAGCTTCAAATTGGTTTGGAGTAAGAATATCAGCTAGTGGAACAACTACATCTCTGTACACTGGCAGGATTTCTTCTGGGACATACATTTTCCCATTATCTCCCATAACTGGGTCACATACTGTAAACAATAGAAGTAAATTGAAATATTTTTAACACCATAATTCCTTTCATCTCTCATAATATACCTTATGTGTAATATCCTTATATTTTTTTTTTTTTGTATTATTCTTTAAGTGGTGCAATAAAGAGTAAATAAATGGTAGTCTGGTGATACGTTTCAACCCTACCCTATTACATTTTTCTAAATTAATTATTTGCATATAATTTTGCTTGCATATTTTTGGAATTAAATTTAAGAAAAAATATTAGCGATTGTTTTGTATGAGTACAAGATCTCAACAATAGTACCACTTATAAGTATAAAAACTGTTTCTCGAGTTGAAGCAAATAATACACATTTCGGTTTTGATGATTCAGGGTAAACAAACATTGTGATTTCCGAATATTATTTATTGAGATGATCAGTGTGTTGTTGGAATAAATTTTCTAATCCAGTATAAATGGCTATAATTTACTCATACATAAAAAGATTTATTTTTCGCATAGAAATATATTAATGTACTTATCATGTTATCAGTTCCTACTGACAACAGTCTTATCAACTATTTTATTTCAAAGGACATTTTCTTCTAAATGAACAATAGATGTAGGTATAATTAACTTGTAAGTAAAAATAATTTTTGCAAAAATTGTGTTATTGTATTCATAATTAGGTACATAATATGCATAATAACCAATAACAGAATATAGTATCAATAATATAATATTATTGCATAAATCACATTGTATGAAATAAACTAAAAAAGGGGTTATATACTTAATATATTTTTATGTTAACAGCCTTGCTTTTAACTTTTTGGTCTTGAATACAAGATTCCTACATATTTAATGGTTTTTAGTAAATAAGAACATTAAGAACAAATTAATAATACATTAAAAATAATGAGTGTAATGAGTTTAGCATTTTTTTGCTCTATTTAATTACTTACCATAAATAAGATTTGGATTTTTTTGTTTTAATTTTGTAATTATGCCAGCAATCTGTCTCAAGGAATCTGGTGATCTGGAGTATCCAGTTAAGAAATGTGTGTAATAATCAACCTCATTTAAAATCAAACCTTCAACTAATTCTTCCAACTCTTCATTTTTTAATATATTTCCCTTGATATGTTTATAGCCTGTATGTGTTGAGAATTGCACTGTATTTATGGAATCCACTTCAAAACCCAGAACCTAAAACATGATGTGAATAAGATACATATGAAATATGATATAATGTAAAGTGACTTTGTCTATGTAAGTTTTTTAATATCAACATTATCATTAATTGTCATAATTAGAATTATACTTGTGATATAATTATTGCAAGTTATGGCATAGTGTTTCCAAATATATATGCTCTCAATAATAGTCCTTAGTGGGGTAGTCAGAGATATTTATGAACTATCACCATTGCAGAGAATGCTTTTTAATGGGTGAGAATGTAATGGTAACTTTACCCATGCTATTGATATATGCTGTGCAGGGCACTGGTAACTGATGATAGGTGATGATGAAAGCAGGTCAAGCTAGAGAAGTATAATTCTCATATGCGGAGGGAAAGGGATTGTTACTAATGGAGACTGAGAATCCCATTGCTAGCAATATACCCAACCAGGTTGACCTCCTCACGGTTCCCCCTGAAAACTATCATGGTTAATTTCAGATGAATTGATCATGATGGGCTAACTGGCCTGTTTTAATTCTCATCTATCACCTTTCACTGGTGCTCCGCTAGTGTATCCCCTTAGTGCAGGCGGGGCTACCATTCCATTTTCACCTATCAAAAAAATCCCATATGTGATATACATATTGCGTACATCCATCACAATAACCACCAGAGATAGTTTTTGCTTATGATTTAAACATAGAACTCTCTTTCTTTCATGTACTCACCTGTAGTGGGAAAATGGCACTCTTATTGCCAACATAGCCATGCACAACATGACTTTGAATAGAAAGAACTGTTGGGGTGTCCAGTGGCATTATCTTTTATTGACTGAAAAATAGTCACTCAAAGTTAAATAGGTAGTTTCGGATTTAGTAATATAAAAATAAAATAAATTGTGACTATATTAATATAGAAAGAACAATGGAGTAAACTTATGAAATAAATATTTTTAACGAAATCTTTATATTGTTATATTTGTAGTAAGGTAATATTTATATTTTATACTTATAGATGGAATTTAATTGCACAAAGTTGTTTCTAAAGTATACACAAGAAATTGTAAAAGTTATACTAACATTAAGTGCATAAAATTTCATAAAATTTAGATAAAATATCATGATAATAATAACTTCTCAGCGATTGAGTTAATAGTTCTATTTAAATAATTTTTACTTACGATTAAACTTTAGATGATAAAAATAATACACAAAATTGAGGAGAGTTCTCTAATGCAACACACTTTCTAAAGTAAGACACTTTGAGGTTGAAATTGAATAAATAGACAACTAACAATGAATTCAATAATAATTTTCATTCTCAGTCTCATTCACTATAGTTAGTTGTTCTATCTCTACTATTTTGTATAAGACAGCTTACTACTTTTAGGACAGTTATTATATTATTTTGTTACTAAATTTAATGAGTCATTTTTAAGTTTAAAAATAAATATGTCGATAAAGTGTTGTTTTTTCCATTTAATAGAATATAAATAGAAATTTATTTATTTAGTGTTTTTTTTTTAGAGATTGAGACAAATTAATCAAGTTACAGAGTAGGTACAACTGGTGACTGGGTGTATGAAAGTCTAAAGTTCAGCAGTTAGTTATCTGTCAATGTCATTTATGTCAAAAATGGTTGCTTACTATCTTTTATCTATGCTGACAATAGTGTCAAAGGCAATTATTGTGGTCGATAATACGCTTTCGACAGGGACATCATCATGTTAATGTCGTCTTTCTCTGACAATTTGGTTTGTAAAAGGAAATAAAATGTTGTTTAATAATATTCCTAAAATTCGCTACTAATTAATAAATACACAGCTAATTAATACATAATATTTTACAATTTAATAAATATTAGATCCTTATTCTGTAAGTTGTCAAGTATCCACAATACAAGTTTTGTCTACTTTTAAACGTATAAAATCAAGTTAGTCAGTTGAATTAAACATAATCAACGCATAATATTATCACAATAATATTTATGTTTGTGTAATACTTGCTTTTACTCGCGACATTGTTCGCATGACCGAAATAAATACGGTAATGTTCATTTACATTTTAAATAATAGGTATGTGTATAACAAATTTCATGACAATTGATTAAGTTATTCCTTAAAAACTTAAGGAACAAATTGTTAAAAGAGGTAAAAAACACATATTTAAAATATTAGCAGCCTTTACGACTTTTAGGCTGCTTTTTGACCTGTATATGTTTGTCCTTGTTTATATAATACATATATGTATATTAAATTTCATAGTGATTAGTTAAACCATTAAGGCACTAATAGCCAACAAACAAATAAATTTACCATTACATTTATAATATTAGTATGGATGTATGCTTATTGTAAATTAATTATAAATGTAATTTACTGTAGTAAGGATAGTAAAACCAAACAACAGCTTACTTTTAAATACTTTTATTGCATGTTACTGCTGGGTTGTTCTTGGGTCATTTCATACGCTTTTTCTAATGTATCTGTAATTATTTTCATGTCATTTTCAATACTTCTAGCCCAGTTTTCCACATCACCAATTTCTTTTAAAGCACTACTGAAATTCTCTACAAGTGCAAGCCACTGTTGTGTTTGTTTAGCAAAATTTATTGCTCCTTGGTGTAGTAATTTTGCTTCAGCATCCAATTTCTTCTGGTTTAAATAAGCCTGGGCAACTCTGAAATTAATTAAAAATAATTGTGTTTTATAATATTAATTTTAGCAATCATAGTTTTTAAATCTATTTCATCACATCAGCTTGTAACTGTCCACAGCTGAACATAAGCCTCCCCTTTGGGGAGTTTTGCTAGTGGTTTCTATGCTTGGCAGGCAGATTGCCAACTACAGCTGCCCATCTCTCATCCTGCTTTAGTCAATTGTTACAAAACCTACAAGATTAGAAGGGATGGTCTATTCAATGCCATGACCACATGGCAAAATTTTAGTCCTTAATAATTAAATAAGAACAATTTTCATATGATAGCTATTTCATAAGAATGGCATTAATATAAATAAATAGCAAAGGTCGACTATGTTTGAATACTATGAAGGTATTAAAATACCAAGAAGTAAAAAACAAATTTACTTTCACATTTATAATATTAGTAAGGATATTACTGGGAATGACAAATAAGTTGACAGTTAAGTGGTATCAATCAAACAGTGAATACTGCAGAATTTACAGAATATCGATATGTATCTGACATTTCTGAGCAAAGACTAGGGAATCATATTTCTAGCTATCTTATATTTCTAATGGAAACCCAATCTTATCATTTATAGAATATAAATTAATATGTGGCATATAATTTTTATAAGGGATGAAAGTATAATTTGTTTATTATTTGGCATGTTTAGTAAAGAATCATAAATATTTACAAATTGGCTCATAAATATCTCAAAATTATATAAAGTTCCTGTCTATACATGTCTGTTTCTATACTAACTTTTTCTATACTAGGTAACAATTTTTAATAAATTTTACTGTTTTTTAGATATTTTAGAGAATGTTTGTATAATTTACATGTTAGTGAAATGGTTTACTAGTATATATATCAAGCACATTAAAGTAGGTCTACTGTATGCATTTCTATCTGTACATATTTCTATAAAATTAATTAGGTAAGTAGATTACATACCCCACATTCAGATGATCTACAAGTGCTTGAGTTAAATCATTAGCTGCAGCAATACATTCTTTCCGTTTCTGCTCTGAAATCATTAATGACTTACATTTATTTAAATTTACTAATTATTAATGCTGTTACATTTAATCTGATATCTAATTCCAAAAATAATTGGGCAATAATTAAGTGATTTTCTTTGTTTCTTACCTTGTACAATTCGTTTAGCAGCTTGTTTGGTTTGATGTTCTTTTATGATAGATGATAACATTGTTCTTTTTCTTATAGGAACTATCTGTTTTTATTATGATATACTTTTTTACACTATGCTTATCGATACAGGTAAAGATTAATATTTTTAGCAGCAAATAATGGTTATAATTTCAACTTAAGTGCAATAGTTATATTTGTTGACCTATTTGAGATATTTTTGTTTGTTGACGTCTCAGAAAACTGACTGACTGAAACTGACTGTCTGAATAGAGTAATATGATTTGAATGACAAAGTGTGACATTTGACAGTCGGATTAGGACCAAAGAGTACGATCAATTCATAAAAATGTATATCCGCGGATTCGAATACGTATTCAGATAATTATTGGTCTAAATTTGTGTTTTTCAGCTTTTTTGATAACACTAGTATGAAAAAATATTTTGCGACCACCGACCCTTTGCTTTTTTTTCATATATTTTATAATGAAAAAAAAAAGGCAAATAATTTTTTTTTGGACAACATTTTTTTATGATGTATCATCAATCAATCATCAATATTCTTAATAAATCTATCTTTATAACTTTGTTTTTTTTTTTACTGAAGTAGTTTTCTCAACCCCGCTATAAAGGCTTTGCGACCCTCCAGGAGGTCGAATCGAACCTACAGGTTGAAAAATCTTTAATACGGATATTAATCTCTACTTTTTTACTCAGTTTATGTTAGATAGTTTTTTTTTTATAGATGATAATGGAATGGTATTAATGAATTGTATAGAGAGATCAAGAAAAACCCATTATTTAATAAACTATAATTTCTTTGTAGCATATACATATTTATTTTATGTAATGTTATTTTCTAGTTTTTTTACAGCTTTCATCTCATTTTGATTTTTCATTATTTGAATTTTTCTGGTGTGCTGGATAAAATTTGTTAACGTGGTTTAGAAATGATTCTTGTATACGAGGAATACATTAGCCGTTTGATATAAGATCTAAAGATAATATGTCTCTTTAGACATAGTCTCTCTAATCTGTGGATATAACTACTGAATATCTGGTTCTTAGATATTTAATAGCAGCTTGTCCCAATATAACTTTTTATTTTGACATTTTCTACTGCATGGTGATGATTAATTTGGTATTTTTGTTCTGTCTTTTTTATGTAATTTGAAGATAATTTACGCTTTTTAGCAACACTAAGGGTAATTAAGAATTTAAGAGCGCATAATATCGTTCCCAATTACTCGAAGTAATTAATATAAAACAAAATGGTCGCCATCCTTAATAATATTTTTAGGAAACATCAAATCACAATTTGATTTAAAGTTTTGGGTAAGTTAACTCTCAAACTCAAAAACATGATATTTACATCTGTTATATTCCACTATAAAGTTTATAACAGAAATGCAACAAATATTATTGACTCATCGTAATAGAGGGCGTGCGGTCTTTCACTCTCACTACTACATAAGGACTGAGGGTAACTAGATGAATCCTTTAGATAGGTACAGTACAGGCGGCAGGCGTTGTATGGAAGGGGGATACATTACACATATAATTGTTACCAATTACCCGCCGTTCTCAATTATTATACTCTCTCATACCAGTGAGGATAAATTTAGGTCAGTGAGTAACCGTGACGAATTAAGGTATAGTTTCTAGGACCATGCGTCGTATCCACCCTAAAATTATTTGGTACCTGGTGAACTTGTCCATCCGTCCTTCTGTTTGTATTAGCGTTGTATCTAAGCCATTACAAGTGCTATTAATTTGAAATTTGGAATTAATTTTAGAAATTGGTGTCCCACACCACAGAGGACCACACATATTGCGAAAAAAATAAATGAATAACTATTTTATTTTCTTTGCTAGAGGGTCCGAAAGCGGTAATCAAAATTTCAATATGGATCATATTAGGTTAAGAAGGATAGGTACATAGGTAATGTATATTATGATGAAGTCAAGTCGGTTGACTCATAATGGCGAATTCATTGGGAATTAACCACGATAGTTTCCAGAGGAGACCTTGTGGAGGTTGACTTAACAGGATATATTGCTAGGAATATCTTATAGCGCCTTAACGGCTTGGTCAATTACTATGAAATTCGATATATATATGTAGGATGGAGAAGGATATAGGTTACTTTTTATCCCGGTCAATAAACATTACGCACGCACGTTACGCAGATAAAATCGCGAATAAAAGGTAATCTTTTACAAATATCTGATTGAGTGGCCTTAAAATACATCGTATTTGGATATTTACGAATGGTAGAAGAGCGGGATTATTACACTGCGTTATACGGTTAAGCACATGATTGCATTGCATTAATTATAACTACACTAATGGAGGAGGCAGCGTATCGATTTTCGCTTATCGCCTACGAAGGCGCCAGCTGCGATTCCGACATCGGAAAAAGATTTTAACCTTGTTTCAATTTACTTATTTATTTTCACAAAGTAACAGGGTGTTGTAGCCATACGAATAAAACTATATTTAGGTAACACCTTTTTCTTCCGTTTTCTCAAAAGTATTGCGATATTTTGGGAGAGTAAAAAATAGGTACGTACATACCTACCTATCAACAGAATAAAAGTTTTCCTATCTACTACTTATGTTATTATTTCTTCTTGTAAATAAATGTGAAAATCTGTTTGTTTATTATTTTCTGGAATTTACTATTTTGGTATACCTACTAACGAGCACTTGGCATTGAGAATATTTATTGTTTGGTTCCTCATATCATAGGATATCCTAAGTTTGAGGACCAAGCGGTTGTTTGACGTTTATTATGTTGAGGATATTAAACGCATTTACGCTACGGGAACAAAACTGCGGGAAGGTCAATAATATGGTAGATTTTTTTAAGTCAGGTTTATAAGTCTCTACTAATATTATAATAAGGAAAGATTTAGTTGTGTTTATTCGTAATTTATAAACTTTCACCTATAGAAAGTTACATTTAGACTATATATTATTCTCAAAAAACTAGGGATTCTTACGAAAATTATAATAATGTAGCCTAAAGTATCAAAAATTTGTCTATTGTCTATAAAATACGAATTTATTTTTCTATCTCTACATATAGGTACCTACTATAAAATAATTTTGTACCAATTTCCTAGCAAAAGTTAACAAGAGGCGTAACGTTTCAAGTATGACACGAGTCAAGTGTGTATGTAATTAGTGCACAAGATCGATATGTGTCATGTCTGTACTAAATTAATGGAAATACCATTTTTAGTAGTAGTTATCTCTGATTTTCCTTTAAATCATAAATTGTATTGAAATATTAATTTTAATATATGTTAAGTTTGAGGTTTTATTCTCCATCTGATCACATTTTCTTTCATACTAGTTTAGGAGTCAGGCTATCGGCGAGAAATGAAATAAGTGTAAAATTTGCAATATGAACTTGCAATACATCTACCATATATAATTAAATTTATTATTTTTTAAAAAACACAATAAGTATTAACAGGTTAATGCCATATTTACACAATAAGACAATCATGATATTAATTCTAAACTTAAAAATATGTTACAAGTCAAATATTGTGAAGGTTGATACAACAACGACTATCATTCTTTGGTAGTTCACAATGTTTTCTTTTCTTCAGGGCTGTCGATGCGTCCGTACTTTTCCTTTAGTTTTTCTGTGAATTCCGGGTCATCCCAGCCCCATAAATAGTGCGTACCATCCCCTGTTCGTTGTGAACGTTGCTTTATGATGTCTGGTGATACACTTTTTAAATCGTAGGCTTGGCCGATCTGTATAAAAAAGTTAAAATTTAGCCGTTGAACAAATATGCATATAAATGTTAGCTTGCCATAGATGTGCGGTTTACATTACCTAAATATGAAACTTTTTGATTTAATCTATCATCAAAAAAATAATAAAAAGTGTAATTTATAGCGGTATATGCCTTACTTCATCCAGAGGAAGACTTTGTACAAAAGTCGATTGCTTGGGTACCTCTGTCCCATACGAATGGGACGAGTTTCCACCGTGAAGCAGTTGTGTTTGCATGGCTGTGTTTCGGTTTGAAGGGTAGGATATGGCGTGAATTTGCTGAGTACAGAGGAATAACACCTGAGTCCTCAGGAGTGGCAACGCATGGGAGGTATCATGGTCGAAAGAGTATACTCCGTTATGTTCATGGTACTGCTCATGTCTATAGGCGACGGTTACCATTTTCCATTAGGTGGGCCGTCAGCTTGTTAGCCATTCTAAGTTGTATAAAAAAAATTGCCATAAAAATGATCGTTGCGGATAAGTATAGTGGAAGAGAGAAATATTATTACAGGCTGATATAGCTTGTATAATTCGTCAAATACATAGGTTTTTTTTTTTTTTTTTTTTTTTTTTTTTTTTTTTATAGAACTTAGAATGGCAAACAAGCTGACGGCCCACCTGATGGAAAATGGTAACCATCGCTTATAGACATGAGCAGTACCATGGACATAACAGAGTATACTGTTTCGCCCATGATACCCCCCATGCGTTGCCATTCCTGAGGACTCAGGTGTTATTCCTCTGTACCCAGTAAATTCACGCCATATCCCACCCTTCAAACCGAAACACAGCCATGCAAACACAACTGCTTCACGGTTGAAACACGAATGGGACAGAGGTACCCAAGCAATCGACTTTTGTACAAAGTCTCCCTCTGGTACCATTTACTATAAATTTTATTTTAATATTGAAAGTGAAATGATAACCCCGCTTGCACTATTAGTATACACTGGCGAGGTACCAGTGAGGATGATAGGCGAAGATGAAGTCAGGCCAGTTAGCCCATGGTGGCGAATTCACGTGAACTTAACTACTACGGTATCTAGGGGGGATCACGTGGAGGTCGACCAAACAAGGTATATTGCTAGCAATGGGGCTGCCATTACTAACAGATCCTTTCCTCGACCTACTAAAATTTTAGTAAGGTTTCATCATAGGGATGACGATTACTACCTTAGATTATATTTCAAATATACTTTCTCTCTGTGATGTAGGTAGGCATACTCACTTTCAGATATGTATGCCTATCTAAGTTAAAATAGCATCTTGGTGTACCAAAAAACTATTTTTGGAAATTCAACGAGAAGGAAAGAAAACTGATTCAGACGTAGTACTGTACAAATTCATGTGATGTAATTTTACTTGTCTTCTTACCATAGCCATAGCATCAATGAACATGATCGTCGGCGTGAGCATATTATACAAAGGGTACTCTGTCGCCCTGTAATCCCATGGAAATGTGTGGTGATAGTTGTGGAATCCCTCTACGCAGATCATCCATGTACCAATATTGTCACGTGGGTTCAAAGATCTACAAAGAAAAGACAATCGTTTATATCTATTTTATTTCACGTAGATATATGGATATGATAATGTAATGGAAGCTATTCTATTTGATTCTTTTTAATATAGAAATAGTTTGGAAAAATTGTGTTCAAGGCCTAAAAATTCACAAGTTTATAAATAATAAAGATAATGTTTGTAATTTGCGTGGCAGTACCTATGTATATGTAAACTTTATAGAGACACTAATGTCACGTCTAGCTTTAATTTTTGTTGCACTTATAATGTAGATATTAATTGCTTTTTATGATTATCGTGGGTTATTTCCGTGTGGCCCCGTGGCTCGTGTGGTTCCAGCATAGAATGGGCCAGTCCTTCCTTTCCCGTGGGTGTCGTTAGAGGCGACTAAGGGAATTAAATGGTAGAGGGATGGGCAGCAGCGTCTTTCTTTTAACGTCAACAAAGCCTAACTGCGGTTGCCAATCTGTCTGCTAAGCGTGGCGTAACTCCCCTTACGGGGAAAGCCTATATTTAGTACTGGACAGTTAAAGGCTGATATAATAATTGTAATAATCTATGTTCTATGTACTACGATGCCGGTGAAATATGACCTTTTTGTCTTTGCTACCCAAATGATTAACGGATGTCATTGTAATTACAATACGTTTATTTCATAATAATTAATTTAATTAGATACCAGAATGTATAATTATGTAGGCAGGAATGAATTAAATTAAGGACGAACTTTGAACCTGGATAAAAGTGAAACTTGAAAACAACAACTTTATAACAACAGTTAATTTGTAATCGTGTATAGAGAAGCAGCAATATTTTATAAAATACACATATTGTAGTTAGCGTGGTTTAATTTCCACCAAGGTAGAAATTTACGTTCTTGCGTACATATTTACATATAATTATCATGGTAAATCTTCAAGAGTAATGACGAATAAGGGGGGATATTGTCTTGTAATATGGTTGTTATACGCGCTAATCTTTGGATTAATGAATGAACCATTCGATTTTAAATTATTTTTTCATTTTAAAACTCATTTTTGAGGAAAATCGCTTATCTTAATGGCCACGAACAAAACCGCGGGATACTGATAGTTTAATATTTTGATTATAATTTTTACAGGTAGCGATATTCATCATTTTCTATTAGAAGGTGAGATATTAATGCAACAAACTTGTTTACTAGTTCCAAATTTAAATATAAAATGAACTAACTAATCATATAGTAAATGTGAAGTGGGTTTCTTAAGTATTTTTACCTTCTTCAGGTATATCGGATTACACCACTGGAGGAGATCTTAAACTAACATATTGAGAATAAAATTTAGAATACACCGAAAGTAGTATATTTGCATTTTTATTCGTAAATTATATTCTTTGTATTTGAATAAACAATGCGCCAAACTATATTTTCACATAGAAATTTTAAATAAGTTCTAATTGGCACATTTCTACCTGTATATACTGTACAAGTGTACAGTATATAAAAGTGCCAATTATAATATACCAATATTATGTGTCAATTGGAATATACTTATATTCTAATGGTAAATTTAAAAAACAGTTTTGAATTATATCAATGAGTGAATTTCTCTTTCGACATGTAACAGACGAATCTGTCAGCAAATACGTTTTATTATCGTTTACATGAAAAAATTTCTTATCTCGTTTTATTTGTATGGGACAGCGAAAACGTATTTAAAAATATATTCGTTTGCAACTCGTCAGATGTTACTTTCAATTTGACTACAAATTTAAAGATTACAATACTTACTTGTCATAAGGCCTGTATCCAAATGTGTGAGCAAAACTATTGATACTCCAGACAACGTTGATTCCAATTGTGTACCGTAGGATAGTTGGGATAAAGAACGCGTTCGTCCACGTTTCATCCCAAAAGTATACAGGTATGATCGTCGGTAGAACGAAACATAATAAAGGCATCATTTTCATATAGTGCCTGCCAAATAAAATTATATATATTAAACCATAAAATTGAGAGTCGACCATACAATCAACAGCTTCAACAGTTCTATTGATGGCAAGAGTCGAAATACTGAAGATATATTACGCGTATGTCAAGCCTTGCATATTCACCAAAGGGAGACGTTGTAAAAGTTGTTTGCTTGGGTAAATCTGTCCCATTCGTGTTTCTACCATGAAGCAGTTGTGTTTGCGTGGCTGTGTTTTGGTTTAAAGGGTGAGATATGGCAGTGAATTAACAGGATACAGAGGAACAATAACTGAGTCTTCAGGAGTGGCAACATATGGGAGGTATCATGGTTGAAACAGTATACTTTGTTATGTTCATGGTACTGGGCATGTCTACAAGCGGCGGTTACCACTTTCTATCAAGTGGGTCGTCAGCTTGTTTGCCATTCTAAGTTGCATAAAAAAAAACATTTTGAGAGATACTGTCTCTTAAAACATTATTTCTTAGGGTTGACACAATGCATTTTACTTATTTCACTGTTAAATTCACAAGCTGCTTAGCGGTAGAGTTATAAAAATGAAACAGATGTACCTATTAGCGTATAAAAGATTATTTCTTGGGAAGGATTTGCTTCTTAAAATAGTCTCTATGTTACTTTCAGACATGTAATTCAACTCGCATCTTGAGGTGGGCGCTAAACATTTCTTAGGTAGGCAAGGATTACACAGCCCCACTCTTATATACGCCTATGGAAATACTAACAGGTAAAAACAGCAATAATAATAATTTCTAATTAATCAGAGGGACGAGGGTAGACTTGCCTTTTGCCAATTTGGCACGCAATATGTGCTGTATTTTGGGTTCTAATGTGTTCGGTGGACTGTAAATAATTCTAATGCTACGTTCAACAAGAAAAATTTATCAATAGTTAAATATCTTCATTCTAAATAATATATGTAGTAACTCATTCGTATTTCGTGACCTTATATTTGTTGAAAATAATTGAACAATTTTCAAATAATAAATGTGTTTGAATATACTTATAGACTTTATATTTGTGTATGAGCTGTACTATTTAAGTTATTGAAGAATATTTCTTAATTTTATCTAGACATGAATATTTATAATGTAGGTACAAATGTAAATTTCCGACTATTCACACTTGACAACAAACAATATTTCTTTATTTACAAAAGTAATCTTACTTTTGGATTCTACAAATGTAATGATCGCTGTAAATTAGTATACAGTAGAACGAGAATTCGCTTTATCTAAAAATAAACAAAACATAAGCTAAAGGTCTAAGTTTTGTCTAACAAGTGATAGATTCTGCATCATTATGTAATAATTTATTATCTGTGATAATAATAGAAGTCTTATTATTTTATCACAAGAATAAAGTTTACTACTCAACGTGCATGGTTAATGACTAGAAAATCTTGTTTGCTTTTGTCGTCTTGGGATTTAAACTTGTTTATTAGCTTGCTGACGCTTCGCTCTCCATGTTAATAAGATTCATATAGTATATAAATAAAGTAGAATCTTGTTAAAATATTTTTTTACTTTCTATATAAAAATTACTAAAGATACCTACCTATATACTTCATTGACCATTATACTAGTGACGATAAAATGTCTAATCAGTACTTAGTAATATATTAAATGAATAATTTTGTACACCTATCAGAATTGCGAAGTTAGTCAAACGTAGGTTAATAGGTAGATATATAGATATCGATCCAACAATATATTGGAAATTAGATAATATCTTACCAAAAATCGTTATACAGATTACAGTGGCTCTTATATTGATAAAATATACATCGTAATTTATTAATATTATATATGTGAAAATGTTTCGATATTTCTGTATTTGTTATTCAATTACGCTTAAACGGTTGAGTGGATTTGAATAAAATTTGGTACACGGGTACATTAAATTCTAACCACAGAGTAGATAAATTTCGTATCAACTTCGTGATTCTATCTTAACATATAGGATACTTTATGACTTATGCTGGTAAAGCTGCAGGAAGTGCTTAGTTAATATAATATGTGAAAGTATGCAAAGATATTTAATGAAAATTGCATGTATAGTTTTCAGGTGGTGGTGGTCCTAAATTTGGACGTAATATCTTTGTAATCCTAAACCATAGGTAAATTCGCTTAAGTTTAGATGAATCATAAATCGATTCTGAAAAGTGCAAATAATTTTCTACAGACATAATAATAACGTCAGAAAGACGTCAGTAAGGTTACGTAAAAATAATTCTTACTTCTTTTGAAACATAACAACAGGATCAGCATAAAGGTCTGAGAGATCTATTCTGCGTCCTCCTTCGATAACTTCTGGACTCTTCTTGCAACAGAGCCAGCCCATGTGGGAGAAAAACAAGCCTCGTTCAGCGTTGTGTGGATCCGCATCTGTGTCTGCATACTTATGGTGGGTGCGGTGATCTCTCGCCCACTCAAATATACAATCCTGTTAGGTATTACCAAACAAAAAAAAATTAAGTGCCTAATCATGCAAAACTGCATACATGCTGGTAAGAGACTAGATACTTGTCGAAATAAATATACTAACGCTCAAAAGTATTTGGCCACCTTCATTTTGTTTAAGTTACAAACAATACATTTTAAAGAAATCTTTTATTAGGTTTCATTGTTTGTATAACACCGTAAAATAATTATCTACAGTACAATCCTAAACAGCTTATTGCTATTTGCCGACTCTTAGCCATAAAACCATAATAATGTTATTGTCGGAATTTCATCAAAGTTATCTATGAAGTCGCAATTTTGTTTTGATTTAGTTATTGAGAAATAAACAAAATATAAAATACTACTTCAATTACTTTTACGTTAGTTATCTGATGTTATTTGACCAGAAGACACGCTCTCCATAGCTCAATACTTAAAATCTACTAATATTTTTTTGTTTTCACTTCAGATTTACATGTTTGGGAGAAAATGAGTAAAAGTAAGGAATATTCCCAAAAGATAAGGGGCATAATAATCGGCCTTCATAAGTCTGGTGAAAGTAATTGTCAGATTTTAAAACTACAGAAGATATCAAGACAAACTGTTGATTTTATTGTTAAGAAGTTTACGGCTGAAGGAACAATTTGCAATAAATGTCGTTCAGGCAGACCGAGAACCACAAATTCCAGTGAAGATTTTTGAGTATAGTTATTAATAGCAAACGAAATAGACGATTAACTGCACCGGAAATAGCAGCACAGTTTAATGCGGATCATGATAAACAAGTCAGTGTATCCACAGTTTTAAAAAGGGCATTCTGTCGCAAGACTCAAGGGATGCAACCGCTTAAAACCGCTTTTTAAACTTATTAAGATAAAGGAGAGACTTAATTGGGTGAGAGAGCACAATAATTGGACAATAGCAGATTGGGATAAGATCCTCTGGACGGATAAATCAAAATTTGAAAATTTTTGAACAAAGCAAAGAGTTTTCGTAAGACGACAATCGAACGAAAGGATGAATGATGCTTGTACTGTGGTTTCAGTTAAACACGATAGAGGGTCTGTGGTGATTTGGGGATATTTTGGTGGCTTCACTGTTGGAAATTTTGTGCGAATACAAGGAATCTTAAAAAAAGAAGATATTGGAAATCTATAACAAAATATTGGAAAATAGTGCAGTGCCTTGTGGAACCCAAATGGGTAATTAATAATTAATAACAATAATTGGTCCAGGATTGATATTTCAACAGGATAATCCACGTCCACATATATACATACTTCTATAAGAATGTTTACGTGTTTTTTGTTCCTTTATTAATTATTAAGCATTTTTCCAAGATTTTTCTATTTAGAAATATTCATATGGATATTTCTGGAGTAGGTATTTAATTTAATATTTATTTATTTATTTTTATTATCGTAGTATAATCTAATATACACACTATCCTCCATATCAACATCAATTTTAAATAGTAGACACATTAAATTAAAATTACAGAACAAAAATGTTACTTTATTATTAACTTCAGCTAACGTTACTGAACAAAACTGTTATGGAAGTTTGTATTTATCTATGTAGTATAAAGAAAAAATTGCAGCAAAATTGAAAAAAATATATATTCATTTTTATATTATTTTAGTAATTTATAGCGTTTATAATTATGTTAAATACCTGAAATCCCATAGTTTGCCATATCATGAGAAGTATTCTCAAAGGAGTCCGTGCCTTAAAACTTCTGTGTGTCCACAAACGATGAGATCCAGCGCCGATGCCGATGGCGCACATTAAATGTACTGCAAATGCTGAAATGTATATTTACTTTCAAAAATAAATAAGTCCTTACAATCGCATACTTAGTCGAAATGACTACTAGAAATATATAACTTTATGTATTACTTCTCTAGAATTTTTTTATAGAAATAAGAAAAGCAAAATTACATAAGGTATTTTTGGAAGGGTTTAATGTAAGTCGAATCGAAATGAACATAAATTTTCGCTTGGTATGGGCGATATCGAAATGGGTGATGACTTCGTTTTTTCGCTATAAATATATAGATATTGAAGCGGTACTGAAATTAACCATGTCTACTTGTGGCGTCTATTTCTGTCTATTGTGCTTACCGAATACATTTGTCTGCCATTTTGCTGAAGTAAATACTAAGTATATTCCATATAAAGAAGCGAGGTGCAGATAAAGGAACCAAAAAATGTTGAACCACACGTATTCATGTTTTTTTGGCGTTGCCTTTTTTAAGACTGTTACATCTTTAGCGAGACCGAGATCAGGTGTCTGTGTGTCTGTTTCGAATAAAACTCCACTTGGAATTGGATCAACTAAAGGTGGCATAATCTGAAATTAAATAAAAAATATTAAATGTATCTTTATACTCTGTAAGAAGGCATAGTACAAGAAATGCTAAGTTTTCGACTATATTTTTTTTTATGATACTTAGGATAGCAAATAAGCTATTTCAGCCATTATCCGTCCATTGCTGGACATAGGCCTCCCCCATAGACCGCCAAAAAGAACGGTCCTGAGCCACCTGCATCCACTGACTCTCTGCATCATATTTGAGGTCGTCACTGCATCTAGTGGGGGGTGGTCCTGCACTGTGATAATAATATAATATACTAATAATAATGTATTTTAATGTATGTGTATTTTAATGTATATAAACTTAATATAAAGCATATTTTGGAGGTTATATGTTTTACTTCACATATTTTTATACAGTATTTTAATTAACAAAATGTTTTCCTTAAAAATAGTGTAAATATTCATTTAGAAGCACAAAATTTTTTTTTCTTAAAAAATATTTAATTTTATCATTAAAATTAAAAAAATAAAACAATATTTTTCGAAAGAAGCAATCTATAACAGTACCAACGATAGTACATTGTATGTATATACCTATCATTCTAAATATAAATTCATTATTAAATATTATCTATAAAAAGTAATAAATAAATATAAACTTTTTACTTGTGGGACACTTGATATAAAAAAAATAAAAGTATAATACCTACTTGTTTAACACAACGCGGTTCCTGAATGAATAATTTTATTATTTAGCTTATCCTATATTTATAAGCTAGTAATTATACAAAATTATTTACTTGCCGACGTTAATAGGTTAATGAATGTGGGCTCGTGAATTTATTACGAAAGTATCTTTTTTGTGATTGTATTCAAATCGTATTCAGTTACCTAATCATACCGACAACGTGACAAACTTTATATCACTTTATGTTAGCTCTGCTCTACCCGTGACTTCGTTTTCTTTATATTCAAACATCTTATTTTACTATTATTATGAAATTGTAACTAGACGATGTCTGTACATGGAAAACTGTAATGATAAATTTTAAAGAAATTATTGTTTTAGTTTCTGTTGCTCTTATTGTCTGTCTGTATGTTCGATTTGGCATCACACAAAAATTACAGCACCAAATTGAATGCGGTTTTCACAATTGTTATGTACAGGATATTAATTCATAGTGAGTTACAAACTCACTGTGAATTAATATCCTTTTTATACCAATTAGTTTTCTGCTAACTTAATATCTAAATATATTTCGTACATATTTGTATTTTTTGTTTCAATAGTCACTTACCTTCAGATGAGCCGCATGCTCGTTTGCCCCCTGTATTATAAAAAAATATAAATAAACGTAGAATAACGTACTACATACTAATATAGACTTATTATAATGTCCTTATTTAAGATGCAATCATGAAAATAATACAAGAAAAGGGTTACATTAGTGTGCGTGTTTTGTAATTGTGTGCACCTGAAAAATTATATTGAATTGAAGTTGCAAAAGTAGCAAAAATTCACGTACTTATTTGTTATAATTTTAGTTTCCGCAAATTTTTTACCAAATATTTTTGATTATTCTATAATAATGTTTTAAAGAGATAAATGTTTAAAGCGTAATTATGTGAAAAATGTACAATTTTGTGATTCTTTTTTTAATGTGTATTATATCTAAGAACTTTATTCTAACTATATTCATTTAAAAATAATTCCACTTCAAAACGTTAAAATAATTAAAACATGTATAGTATACACTCCAGCCAAATCAGCTTCGAGCCTATATTGTGTAGACGAGATTCCTACTTGTTTATCTTGGTCTAACATTATGTCATACTATTTTCTTTATTTTACGCATATATTCTTATACTATATATATTCGTCAATTACGTATACTTTGAATTAATCGTTTATATTGTACCATTGTAATAACATGTTGATATAGTATAACACGAGCGACAAAAGAGATAAGCAAAGCATCATTCGTACGATTTCTTTGTATCTGTTCCGGGAATGTACACGAGGGAATGAATAGAATGTCTTCCGGTTAACAACTGGGGCGCAAAACGGAGATTTTATTTCGAAGAGCTCTCGCCGGGACCGTTGGATTTCCACTCGAATGATAATTCTTATTCCGATGATAATGCTTCAGCTGAGCATACATGTGGCTAAGTAGGTAGGGTTCCATTTATTCTCGAATATGACGTTAAAATATTAGATACAAAATATTAAATATTGAGAAACATTGCGTCATTCAGTTAAAACTACATATTATCTATACATGATTATTATACCAGTCAAAATGGATGTTTTTCCGCTAAGAGAAATGGGTCGAACAAAGATAAGATATTTTCAATTATTTAACCCATCCAGTTGGTAAACTGATTTGAAAAGATTCTTATTATAATTGGACGCGTTTTCTAAAATTTTTTTGCGCTTTCGACTCACGTTTCTGTAGGAAACATGTTTAGTATCGCTGCTAGAATACTCCTTTAAAAGTGTTAGCATATTTATAATTATTTTCTAGATATCCTGATACATTAAAAAGGTACTTTTTACTACTATTAATTCCTGATACGTCTTTACAAAGCTTCGCTCATATACTAGAGTGGACACCAAAAAATTTTAGCTTGAGCACGGTCCATCAAGCGCTCAACTTTACCCGTAAATATGCTTATGTTTAAAAGGATAATGCTTAGTATATGTATGCTTAATTTTTAAATTAGTCTTTTTAAGTATCTAACTATGTACATACACTCGAAGTTATTTTAATCTGTCTTCCTAATAATGGCAAAATTTTCAAGCTTCCATGTTAAGTGGGGCGCGGTTTGAAGGCAATTTGCGTGGAATTGTTACCGTCCGATTACCCGTTTTGTGGTTTAAATGGCTTCCTATCTTTAAAAACGATTTGATTGCGCGGTCACGAATTGAAATCCGTGTACGGTTAGACCACAGGAAAATTCAATTGAACTGTCCAGATTAAAAGTGGGTTAGTTTTTATTTATTTTGTTAGGTATATGCAATATAAGTTATAATTTGATTGAAAAAAAGTCACAATTAAATATAATAATTATGGCAATAATTACTTTAAAATACCTTAAAGTTAAAAAACGAAGGTCTTTAACAAGTGCATGCTGCCAATGATGGCATACGAAACCAAAACATGGCCCTACACGATTGTGTATACGTTATTAGCAAACTATAAAGAGAATTATGCTCAGAGCTTCTTTGCAATACATAATTCGAAATGAGGATGTACGCAAAAAAAAAAACAGAGTGACCTAATATATACCTATAGCTCAAAGGATAAGCAAGCTGATGTAGCAATGGCCTGGTCTCACAGCTTGAAAAACTGATAACCGATGGGGAAGAAAGATTCTCGAGTAACGACCCACTAGATGGAGTGATGACCTAAAATATAATGTGGAGTATATTTTACCTAAAAGGTAGGGAATACACAAGAATTCCTTTGGTATAGTGCTCATGGGTAGCGGTAGTCACCATCAAGTTAAACGCAGATTTTTTATACTACTGTGATGATAAACAATCATACAGAATGAAATTAAGAATATTTTGCTCACTATATTATAGAAAAATATTCAGAAATGTCAAATGAGAACCAAGTAGGTAAAATATACAAGTAGGTAGTCGCAGTGGAACTGACCGCGTAATCAAAAGGTTAAAAGTATATATAGTGATAGATTGAAATCCCGCAGTTTGAATTATGTATTCATAGCACACGTAGTGCAATGGCCGACAATAAAGGGCCACCAACAAGCACAGATTCAATTTACAGGACAAACGGATAGTTATTGCGAATAGTTCCTTAACTATTTAGTTCGAGCGTATTTGGTTTTCGAAGAGATTCGGATAAGCGCATTATGGGATATTGATGATATTCCCAAGATCTTTTGTTATAGTTTATGAATACCTCTGCAATCCTATGTAATTTTATATAATTGATTTTCAAATTTTGTGTAAAAAATATATAAAAGGCAAATCATTATTTATTATTCATGTATGGCGGTTTTTGCTAATAAGAATTTATAGGGCAGGCAGTATTTAACCTACATATAGTCGTACATACATATACAAAAAATAAATAATTAAAACTCATTTTTATGTGCTCTGAAATTTGTAAAATAAGGAACATGTTACACTTGTTCCTGTACCAGCATGAAAATTTCACTAGTCTATTCTAAAATACGAGTGATATAATGTTATAATGAAAACTGTTTAATTTGATAATTCGCTTACTGATGACTTCGATTTTTGTTCTAGGTCGACTAGGACATAACGATCTACATGTGAAATATCTAGCATGACGCACTCCATATCTCTTTGTGACACTGGAACAGTTTTGAATTTTTTTTAAACTTATTGCGTTTGACTGTTTCGATTTGTATGCCTTACCTCTACTAATTTTAACTATATCACAGCAACAGAGCAAAGGCGACGTAATGACCTTCATAAGAAGGGATTCTTATGGACGTATTCTTATTGCGTTGAGGTTTAATTGAACATAAAAACAATAGTTCTATGGGAAAAAAGACCTGAATGAAGTTTATACACCATAGAAAATATGACAAAATGTAGTTGATAATAAAATTACTAGTATATCTACATCTTTTCTTTCCTTAGCAGATTAAAAATTCATTCAAACGTCAAACAATAATTATTTTTATCCACTCCAGGTAAGTATGCAAATTTAATTGCCTGAATAACGTAACTCTTTCTCTAAAGCACAATTCCTAAAGCATTCGTTATGTTGTAGCAAGCGCTTAAAGTTTTGACAATCAGATTATCCCCAGCTTTGGACTTGCTAATGATTTTAGTTCCCTCACTGAATAGTTCCTGCAAAATATGCTAAGCTAAAGCGCTTACTTTGCTACAAATGAAGTCATAATTGCGTTTAGTTATTAAAAATAAGAGGCGGTTACAAGAGAAAAGTTTAGTGGTTTTTTGTGAAGACAATTAGGTTGTCAGATATAATATAACGGTCTATTTAACGAGATGAAGATAAATTAGTGGTGTACAAATAATCGTGACGGACGAGATCCGGATTTTGTAACAAAAGCCTTTTTAAAATCCCATCAGTGGTCCGCCCCTTCTCCGTGAACAGTAGATCTTGTAGATTGGTTTCATAACTTTTAAAACAAATTTACATTTTTTTGGGGGATTTTGATTACAATTTAAATACAATATGCGTGTTTGTGAATTGGGAAAAATATAGCTTTTGGATACGGATATTTATAGATGATGAATATTACTATATTTTCATTAGCTAGTGAAGGAATTACTTACAATATTGCTCCGCAAAAACTTTAAAAATTAATATTAGATTAACTCTACTAAAACCGTATAGGTTATAAATAATTATAAACAGTTCCAAATAACTGAAAATGACTCGTATAATTCACGCAAAGAACAGTTCCAGACGAATTGGGAATTTTATTTTTTTAAGCCCCTGTAAACGTTAAACAACCTCGTATGGTAACCAAATAGAACATTCTTAGAAATTATAACTTTTAATCTACGTTCTGATTAATGATGGCCTTACATGAAAATCGAAGTTATAATGAAGGATTAAAAATGTAGAAAAATATTAGTAATTTTTTATAGAAGGTACTTTACGATAGAAGATTATTTATTTGCATATTTACATATGAAAACATACAAACATGTTAATGAATAAATATATAGTCGGTACGTGAATGAGTATTTAACGTAAGTAGTGACTATTTTAGTCTATATATTTTATACTATTAATTATTTATAGGTTACATTTTATATTTAAAT